CTCCGCGAACCGCCAAGGCCGCCGTTCGGGCGGGCTCTGCCCTCTCAGGGTTTGTTTTCCGCCTGCAGCCTTTCCCTCTCTCTGCCTTCCCCAGAAAACACATTAACTGCCCTTACACTCCGGATGCGTTCAAGCTTGCTCGTTTTAATAAATTTTGTCTCCAAGAAATACAAGTGTTGCTTCACTATAAGCATCCCCCCTCATCCCCTTTTTTTATTGCCTCTGCTTAAAAGTCCCGGTTCTCTTTTTCAGGTGATCTTTTCTACAACATAATCTGTAAAGATGTTGAAGTTTAAATGCGGCGCCCGAAATCCAGTAGAGGCAGGACCGATGGAGCCCATCACCAGCCGAATTTCTCGGTTAAATCTGCTCTTTCAGGTAAAGAGCGTCTGGCATGGGATTACTGATATACGTTTTGTCTATGTCCGTACCCAGCATAACAAAATGCAGTTTTGCTCGTTCATGTGGATGCTCAAAGTGTGCCTGTGGGGTTCTTTGGAGGAAGGGGTAAAAGAGGGGGATAACTCATTGAAGTTCAAAGTGTGTATCTAGTTTGCACAAAGTTCAGTGGATAGTACTTGGTCTTAAGTTTATGTGCATCTGTTAATGTTTTAGCCTGAGTGGATTTTCCCACATAAAAGAAGGAATATTGCGTTCGGTGTCCTGTAATCTGCAGTTTTTTCATGGGTGATGTAGCTGAGGGTTTGTCATGAGGTGGATTTACCTAACCAGCGGCTATTTGATCATCTGAAGTTCAGCAGCTTTTCCTTCTAGAACTAATATTGACACTGATTGTTTAAACTATTTGTACCATGAAAAAAACCACATGGTGCAAGGTCAAGAAAGAAGCTAGTCAGATCGGAGTCATCAGTAGGATGCAGATAGTTTCAAGAAAGCTGTGATTTGAACTTTAGCAATCTTTAAAGGATTGCTTTGTCTAAAAGTAAAATACCTATAACAGCTATTACAGATAGACATAGTGAGTTGACATATTTACCTCACACTTCTGGATCATTTCTCTAATTTCTGAAGTAGTGATTTTTAAATGGATAATATATAATCTACTCTATACATATGTTATTGATTTGAGGGTTTTCATTGTTGTCTGAGACTCCATCTGCTGTTGCTTCTTTTTTTTTCCAGGGGAAGCCACTCTTTCTGACTCAACAGCAGATGTCTCCTCTCTCCCGGGAAGGCATCCTTGATTCTTTATTCGTTCTTTTTGAAGAATGCAAAAACCCTGCTTTAATGAGAATTAAACATGTTGGCAACTTTGTCAAGAAGTGTAAGTTTGTTTAGACTAATTTTCAGGTGTCATTTTAAAAGGTAGTGCTTAAGAATCTGAATGTTTGAATAATGCTTTATTTGCTTTGATTCATTAATGTTTGTAACCCAGGACTTCGAGTATGACTTATTGTGGACAGACTCAACATTGCAAAGGGGACCTTGGCAGTCTTAATAGGGCTTTGTTCAGGTTCAAAAAGTCAAATGCTGTTGAAGACTGTGACTCGAATGTGCATCCTCCTTAGTCTGTACTATATTTGTAGTTGAGGAGACACTTTCTTTAAACGTGTCTGAGTACTGCATAGGGCAAAGCTCCAAGACCGCACAATAGGAGGATGTCAGAAGTTGAGAGCAGGACAGTGGCTAGAGGTATGAGGAAAAAAAAATATAGAAAGAAACTTGTTAATACTTGGCTCTTTCAGCTTGAAGTAATCTTTTGGATTCCATGTGTTATCTGAATTTTGCATGTGTAACTTGTAAATAGTAATTCTGTGCTTCAGAAATATAATTTCTGATGGAGTAAATGTTTTACTGATGATGTGCTCAGATTCTTTGGGGGGGAGGGGAAGGTTCATCAATTTTTCTATTAAGATATACTAGAAAGTCATTTGGTTAGAAGTAACTTATCATGCTGCCTATAATAGTTCCATCCAACAGTTTCTAGATATTATTAGCAGAGAGTAATTATCTGCTAGTCTGAAGAATTTTTAGAACAATCTACGGAGCGCAATTGATTATCACAGTGCATACTGGTTGAAACTAGTCAATGGAAAACTTGAACGGAATATCTGAAATGTCATGTCTGTGGTTACTTGTTAGACAATAGACTAGTGCCTCCCACAGGCAGAGGAGAAAACCCAGCCACTGGACCTGTAGAACTCGGCTGGGTAAAGCCCTCATATTTAGAGAATACACTTTGTATTGGTAAAGGATGGTTGGAAAGAAATTAGAAACAAAAGAGGCTATCAGCCTATGATGTTATGAATGGGACAGAATTATGGTTGCTATGGGAACCGTCTTAACATTTCCTGATTCTTTTGTATGTACCATATTCCAGTCTTAACTATGCATTAATACAGTCTTTTTCTAGTTCTTACGCAGACTGGTTTTTTTAAGAAGCACATTCTGGAATGATTTAATATTTCTTGAGAGTCGGGAACTAAATGTTTTTTTCATTTTGTTTTGTTTTATTCCCCATTTGTGATGTGTTCGTTATGAAATGCCAGTTGGCTAATGTAAAAAATAAGTGGTTTATTTTTATAGATGCAGAGACTATAGCTGAATTAAGGGAACTGCAACCCAGTGTGAAGGACTTTGAAGTAAAGACTGTGGTTGGCTGTGGTCACTTTGCAGATGTAAAAGTAGTAAGAGAGAAAGTTACTGGTGATGTATATGCTATGAAGGTGATGAGCAAGGAGTCCTTGTTGGCGCAGGAGCATGTATGTATATTTTTCTGTTATGATAGTAGACCGACAAATTACAATTTATTGAACATTTCCTTTTTGTCACTACTATTAGAATTAAGTTAAAAATGTATCTTGAGAAGGATCATGCTACATTTCAGTGAAGTAGTATATTTGTATGTAGTTTTGCTGTGTTTAAAAGCCATTTTCATAGACCATGAATCTATTGGATGAAGTGGCATCCAAAACAAAAAGTGGCCCTTGTCTCAGAGCTTACCATCTAATTGGAAGACAATTAAAAACAGATTAAGAAAATACTGGATCAGCATTGATCAGCTTGATAATGGCTTGAATTTTCAGGCAGTCTATTCATTAATGGTTTGTTTTTTTTTTTTTTTAAAGACTGACATAGAATGTCAGGAGTGGGTGTGAAGGCAGACTGTGGTGACTGGATTTTTATGGAGAGCCTCTCACTAGCTTGAGAAATGTGTTACTTGAAAACTTAAAAAAGGGATAATGGAGGTTGTTATCATAGTTTGGTGAGAAACAGAAGTTCCTCTTTCACTGGCATGAGATGACAAGTAGGACAAAGATGCTCCATGAAAGACCTTGTGAATTTATACAGCAATATCTACATCAGTTGTTCCCAATATTTGGTGCAGTTAGGTTGCTCCTGAGATCCCTTAGCACTGTTTGTGGCTATCAGAAATAAAGATAAACTAAAATTACTCTTGCTGTGGCATAGGTTGACAAGAAAGCAAGGTATGATACTACCCTCAATATGACACTTGCGCAATCTTGTTGAGCGTGGGTTAGCGAAAGTAGGGAATGTTGATCTAAATGAACTAGCAGTGTCTCTGTAATAAAATTAATTTCTTGTTGTCTGGCCACACATCTAAATAATTACATAGTTGCTAGAGGATGACTTCAAGAAAACCTTGTATTTGAATACCTTACAATGAATTTATTACTGAATTAGCGGTAAGATGCTGCCCCATAATTGCCCTAGCTTCTTTTTTGCTTGTCTGATTCTTTTGAGATTAGTTTTATTTTATTAGGGCCAGTCCAGATGAGGTCAACCCAGATTGCACTCCAGAGTAGTAGACGCTTCACCAGTTTGAAAGGGGAGCTGGCCTTTGCTGCAGGGATTATTCAATTGAAAGCAAGCTAGACAACAGAAGGCGGGAGGGGAACAGAAAACATAAAGGAGTAAAATGACTTTTTTTAAAGGTGCACATCACAAGAAAATAGCATTTAATATTTTCTGTGTAATTTTTTTGTGATGTGTGCCTTTGGCACAGGCTCAAATCTTTCTAAAACTAGGGGATTCTAATGTATTCTAACTCATTTTCATCATGATATAACTGAACACTTCCTTTTCTTGCAGGTGTCATTTTTTGAGGAAGAACGTAGTATATTATCTCAGAGTACCAGTCCATGGATTCCACAGTTACAATATGCATTTCAAGACAGGAAAAATCTCTACTTGGTAATGCCTGGTCTTTGCTTCTTTTCTCCTCTATTGAACACTATTGCCATTGTTATGTTGAAGAACAATGTGGTGACTGAAATGTGCTCATCTTCTCTAAATTTTCCTGCATTACATGCACCTGTTTGATATTTGTCCAGTGTAACACGGAGGAGTTGAATAAGAATGTCTTTTGTATATAAGGACTATATCTGTTCCTTTAAAATTTTATGTAGGTTATGGAGTATCAGCCTGGAGGGGACTTACTGTCACTCTTAAACCGGTATGAGGACCAACTAGATGAGAGTATGGTGCAGTTTTATCTTGCAGAGTTGGTTTTAGCCATTCACAGTGTCCATCAGATGGGTTATGTACACCGGTAGGTAAAGATTGCTTTGCATTGCACATAGTATTTGATCAGTATCATTCCAGAAAAAGTGTTCTGGAATGATGCTTTTTCTTTTTTTTTAAATATTCTGTCCTCTTTCAGGACAGTATTTCACATGCTGTATCAGAAGACAAAATTAGAAAATTAATCAGACTCCAACTATAATTGTAGCTAAAGGCATTAACTTTGATGTAAAGTTCAAACTACTATCAAGAAAAGATTGTTACATATATTTTCTGGAGGCTTAGTAAAAAGAAGCCTTAATGTTGCACTATAAAAAATTAAAATCTTTTCCAGAGATTGTTGCTTTTAGCACCAAGTAGTGTAGGAAATCAGTGTAATTGTTAAAACTTGTTGTGTGCTGATTGAGGAACGGGGCAGTATAGGATGTTGGAGTAGTTAAATATCAGAGTTTTCTAAAGATGATATCAAGGCTTGAAGGCTCTTACTGTATGCATTTTCAAATCATGTTGGTGTTTAATAAATTCGTTCCATTCTGAGGTTTTGGAAATGTTATGAAGTATTTTATGTTCCAAGCAGCTGTGGTGGCTGCATTTAGAGCATAGGCTGTGGCTTTCTAATGCAAGGTAGCTGCCTGGATTTGAAAGACGTGCAGAATAAGTTGTGAGGAAATTTGGGGAGAAAGCTGCATAATACTTCACTGTAACTCAGTTACGAGGTAATCAAGGTGTGAAACCACCTTCTCTTTCCATCTTCTATCAACAATTATTAACTTTCCGTGAAATAAGAAGAAAAAAGAAATTTACTACTTTCATATTTGCTTGGAAACAGAACAACAGTTGAAAATAAGCCTCCCACTTGTTAAGGTTTTATGCAGCTGACCACACGGTTGAGTGTAGCTGAAAAGGGTTATCCTGTTATGTAGATGGGACAGTGGGGAACGGTATGGAGATGTACTGATTGCTTTCTTCTTGCTTACAGAGATATCAAGCCAGAGAATGTTCTTATTGACCGAACAGGACACATTAAACTGGTGGACTTTGGGTCAGCTGCCAAAATGACAGTGAACAAAATGGTAATAATGTGGATTTAAAATGGCTTGTTTGGATAGTCCAATCAAAAAGGGAAAACTAACTTTATACATGTTCCTTGATTACACCTTGTTCTTCAGCCTTTCTTGTCCAATATGGAATCTATTCACAGTGATATTTTTCCATTTGTGAATGGCTTTTCAAACATGAGCTCGAGTATCTTTTGCAGCTCTCAGTAGATACATATTTGCTTATTAAAATTTTAATACACAAGTAAGGTAAAGGCAAGTCTACTGTCTCATGGTGCTGCACTGGAATACAAAATCATACTTCTAGAGATTCTTACAGCTGTTTAATGCTGTGTTTAAAGAAGGACATGGATTTATAATTGTTCATAATTGGACTGAAAATTATGTTTGTTGTAACTAAGGTGGCATTGTTTTGAAGACCGGGGAACTCTTGATTGAAATGAATCGCATTCCAATGTTCTGGCCTTTACTCACCAGAAAACACTATATTCAAAGCTGTGAATCACTTGAATTTTTTTATAAATTGCTTGTAAATTTAGTTAACTGCATACAATTTCAAGTGATATTTTGAAATTAAAATATATCTAAGCTAGAATATGAGGTTCTATACCAGATTCCTGTCTTGTTTTACAATTTTGATTTTTTCGTAGCATTTTCTTAGTATTGTGACTCTTAATATTCTGTTTTCCCTGTTCTTCCCTTTTCAGTGCTTCTCTGCATTGCATTCTTCTTTTAAATTTTTTCTTCACATTATCTCTTCAGTCATAGTCAGGTTTTTGTGTTAGTCTGCCTGCTGTTTTGTTTCATTCTTTATGCCACTCAGTGCAAAAATGATTGCAGTTTTGGCTCCTGAATTACCTTTTCTAAGCACTCCAGAAATTCAAATACTAGTACTTTGCTGATCATGAACACAAGGTAAAAAGGTAGGGATGAGACAGAATGGAATAAGGGCAGCGAATATTTATGTCTAAATTTGATTATTTTTGAAATTCAGCTATGACATCCCTGTTAATACTAGTTGAAGCAGTAGCTCTAGAGCATGTTACTACTTAAAACATCAGTGTTCAGTAATCCTGTGCTTTTTAGAATGCCACTTTTCTACTTCAGCTGTTTGTAGTTTCTAGTAACAGTTAGCTCTGATAATTTGACTTTTTTTTTTTCTTTATACAAAATAGCTTGCTTTCTGTTGTTTATCAGCAGTTTCCTTAACCTTGCACTTCTTTGCTTAACAGCCTTGCTTAAAATTACTTACTTAAAATTCACTTGGAGGGCTGAAAATTGTGTATCTCACTTAAAAAAAAAAAAAAGATTTGGTTTATTACCAAGATCACAATGAACAGAAAGTGCTGTAATTTCACTTGGTATATCTTGCTTCTAGGTAAATGCCAAGCTACCTGTTGGCACACCTGACTACATGGCACCAGAAATGCTAACGGGGTTGAATGGAGATGGCAAAGCTTCTTATGGTCCAGAATGTGACTGGTGGTCCCTAGGAGTCATTGCGTATGAAATGATTTATGGAAGATCTCCGTTCACTGAAGGGACTTCAGCAAAAACTTTCAATAACATCATGAACTTCCAGGTAGAGAGAACTCCTTCTTGGGTAAAGAGGCTGTAACTAATGATCATGTTTTTACAGTTGAAAAAAGAAGCTTATGGCTGTCTCTTAGTTTGTCATGTTCATAAAATATTTAGAATATGTGCTTTATGTTGTTTTTATATGTCTCCGTATTGTAGATATCAAGTTATTTTTTGTAACAGGTGTTTAAAAATAACCATCTGCAATGCATGAATTAAAAAAGATTTAGCTGTCCATCTTAGGCAACTATAATTGCAGCATCTCCAAAATAATCTAGAAAAGGGATTGAAAGGATGACTTGTGGATTGATAAAGTTCCTGAATCTTACTAAGTGTTTCTGGATAGTAAAGATAAGGGCTAGCTATGAAGAGCTGCAGAAAGGCTTGAGGATATTGAGTGTCTGCATGATTAAAACATCATGTGAAATTTAGTGTAAATAAATTTAAACCAATGCATGTGAAGGGAAAAGTATCCCAACTCTACCCAGGGGTGGGTTCAAGAACAGTATCTTGATGTTATAACCTATGCAAATATTAGTTTAGTTCTTAGTAACAGTCTAAAAAGCAGCACATGGAATGGTAGGAGCTAGTAGGAAAGAAAAAGAAAAAAAAAATCGTGTAGCTGGAAGTGAAAAAAGAATGGTTGCCTATTATCTCGTCTAATATGGGCGTTAGGGGCATCAAATGAAAATAGCCAGCAGTAACTACGTTACAAACAAAAAAGGATACTTCACATAGCATGTTCTCATGCTGGGGTGTTCTTTGCCTTAAGTTTGCAGCTACTGAATGTTTATGTGGGCTCAAAGAGTGACTAGAAAAATTCATAGAAGAAGAATCCATTGAGATCTGGCAAATACAAAGACATCATCCCTGGTTCAGAAAATCCTAAGCCACAAATACGTGGAAGTTGGGGAGAATTTTCTGGGGAAGTGTCTTGTTTTACTCTTCCATTTGAGTATGCCATCGGCCATTGTTCAGCATGCGATGGTGATCTGGGTCTACCCTTTGTCTGATTGGGTATGGTTGTTCCTCTGTTCTTGTCTTCACTGCAGTAAATGCATATAAAAGCCTATTTGGAAAAAAAGCACAATACTTTTGTTTGTATGATATAAATATTTATCCTTTGTGCGTGACATATCTCAGAATAATAATGTTCAGAATTACTGTTCTGGGACTGTTTTCCTACTGAGTAGAAATTCTTTTCTTTCTAATGCAGAGATTTCTGAAGTTCCCAGAGGATGTGAAAGTTAGTAGTGAATTTCTTGATCTGATCCAGAGCCTGCTTTGCGGGCAGAAGGAAAGGCTGGGTTATGAGGGACTCTGCTGCCATCCATTTTTTTCTAAAATTGACTGGAATGATATCCGTAACTGTAAGTAGAATAATACTGCATTTATAAACAATTTCTGTTTCTTTGGGTAATGTGAAAATTTGTGCAATGTGAGTATTTAATTGTGTTTGATCTGAATAATTATTCATAATGAAACAGGATTGTGTCCTGGAGCAGGTGTTTTTAACAAAACAATTCATTTTGGGTTTTGGATAGGATATGTTAACGTGTCTCAGGTGAAAATTGTAAGGTAAGATGAAGTTTAATACAATTCTGTATGAATTTCTGATGCAATTGCCATATTACTGCAGGCACTAGACTGGAAAATCAAAATGGTCCTTTCCATGTCTTTCCTCAGATGAAAATGCATCAGTATGTTCTTTCAGGCCTTTTCCACCTCAATTTGCTTAATTTTGGCTTAATCTTACTATTTTTTGTTTTGTCTTCAGATTTCTCTCTATCATTTCTTGTGATCCAGCCTCATTTAAGTTTGTTTGGTTTATTTTTTTAGCTCCTGTAGGTGATAAAATGTCAGCGGTCACAGGGGCATTGGAGTTTTTCCTCAAAGTTAGTATGGCTAATATGATTTTTTTTTTGTCAAAAATCTGTTCATTCTGCGAGGAATTGAATAAAATCAGTGGAACAGATAATTTTCTATGCAGAAAATTGTTTATAATACTATGGAAGCAAGGGAGTTTAGTATTTGGAAGTACCAAGGCAACGGCTCCATGGCATAAGCAAATGTTTCACAGGTCGTCAGTGATCTATGTATGAGTGCCTGACTTGTGTTGGATTGTATTTTAAATTATTTGGACTGTAAGATTATCCAGGCAAGGAACGTGTCTGCCTTATATTCTTTATCAAATGTGCTGTAAGAGCAATGATTGTGCTCCATTTTCCATGATAAATTGCTAAGCCAGTGCTGCTACTTTTGATGACTATCTCAGCACTTCAGCTGTCAGCCCCGCAGAATGTTTACCCACTTTTCTGTTGATTCATTAATTTTGAACTTGTGGAGCTGCTGTTCTGTTAAATTCTATTGTTTCTGTCCTTTGAGAGCCATTGAGCCTTGAGTCTTTTTCATAATTTTAGCATACATTTCCCAGACTTCAGCTCACTCTGTCTTCTTTCCTCAGAACCCTGCCTAAGCCACCAGTTTCCATTTCTGAAATTTTTGTATTGCATTTGTGTCATATCTCATGTATCTCAGATCTGGAAAAAAATGGCATGTGAGTGTATGTTCTGGTGTTTCCTTGGCAATTGTCTGTCCAGTATTCACATAACTGCGCAAGTTAATTGAGTGTTTTGCCATTTCATGTGACAATGGTGATACTGATGGACAAGCTGGTAGGCAGCCCTGATGTCATCATAATGTTGAAATAATCATTTGGGATTTTAAAAATCCCATTTCTGTCTGCAGCTGGCCAGTGGATTACATCATTCCCTGTAATACCCAGACCTACCTACTGTGAAGATTCATGCATTGACCCCTGACTTCATTGTTATGTCTCATAATTCATAAAACCCCACTGTAACTAGCACAAAACACAGCAGTCTTCTTGCTTTTAGTAGCAGATTCAATGTATCACCTATTGCTTTGCTCTCTGCAGTGGTTCTCCATTTGCTGGCTTATTCAGGGTTGCTGTTATTCTATTCAAAACCATTGTTGGGTTTGACCCAGGCTATCTAAAAGCTAAAAGTTTCTTTCTTATCTTGACCTCCGTTGATAGTGGTGTTTAACTGGAGCAATGGCAGCCTGAGAAAATTAGGAAACTGGTGAGTGCTGGAAGAGGTCACAGGATTTAGATTTAGATTAAAGAATCTCACTCCCTCAAGTTAATCTGGTCAAAGATTTTGGGGGTGTGGAATGTTGGACTCGATGATCTTAAAGGTCTTTTCCAACCTAAATGATTATATGATTGTTAAATAAATTCTGTATCAGCACAGTCAGACTTTCTTCTAGTCTATAAAAGCAATGATGTTATTTCTATTTCAGACTGAGAAAGGTAGGGAAAAAATTGGTACCCTTGCCTTGCAGGTATTTAAATTATCATGCTGGGAGCTCCAGGATAACCATTCTTAATGCACCGATTTTGGTTAAGAATGTGTCATTAAGGGGTTTTTCAATGTTATATTTTATTGTTATGGTAACCTATGAAACACTTGACTTTTCAGTAAACCCCTTCCCAAAAGATAGTTGCCTCTAAAAAAGCTCCCAACTTCCTTGGTTCAAGTCACATGTGTCTGTAGAAGCAGCTCTTAAGTTATAGAAACAGATTCCAACCATTAAACCTAAGGTCAGGTTTAAATGAATCAGTCCCAACAGGTAATTTTCCCCTTCCTTGGAGTATTGTACTGAAACATTTATAGATTTTGCTCTCTGTATTTGTTGATTTATGCTATTTAATGACTTCTAAAGCTTAAAAAAAAAAACAAAACAAACCAGACACCACCCCTGCCAACAAAAGAAAAGAAAACAAAACTTTTGAAAGATGGTGTTGATTTACTTGACAGAATTTAATGAAAAGATTTTTGAATTTATTTACCTAGAATAAATATATTTCTATCTGTGTTTCAGCTAAATGATCAGGATTTTAACCGGAAAGTTGATAACAACTATTTGAGTACTTGATAAGTATCTAAAATCAGAGGTAGAGAATGGGGGGGATGATATACCTGAGTTATCAGCAATAAGGTTGCATTCTATATAATTTGGGGATTTTGTTAACCACCTTTTGTTGTTTGAAATCCATAAATTACATCAGCTGTTTAATTTGGAACCAAAAGTCTGCCTGCTGAAGGCTAGGTCAGAGATGGTCAGAAGACTTTTATTGTCATCTAAGCAATATATATGTATAGCATAAAGAATCTTTCATTTTAAGAATTGTTTTGTAACTGCACTCAGAGCGGTCTTAAAAATGGAATGGCATATTTGGACTTGCATGAGGAAGCTATATATATGAGAATAAAAGAATCAATGTCTTGTGCAAACAGAAGAACTTGAGAAAGTGTTGAATGATTTTTAGGCTGTCTTCTGCTGTTAAACAGGCAGGAACCCAAATCTCATTTTTCGTAAGTACAAGACTATTCCTTATCCTTATGAACCCAAAGTTGTCATTCAGTATGTTAACAGTTAAACATTGTGATGCTTCATTTAAATGCTTGCCTTCAGAAAAATGTGTTGACTTGTTTCTCTAAGTGGAGATCACTCTCATGTCAGCTTGAAGATCACTTTTATTAACAGAAATGTCTGTGTTGGATCATTGTCTTGACAGAACAGAAAAGATGTTAAGATAATATAGTATAGATTGGTTAGAACTAGTATAATGCCTTTAAGTGGTCTTAGAGAAAACACCCTTAAACTGCAGCACTTGGACTTTCTATTTTCTATTTTTCTTCTGTAACACATTACTCAAATAAGGCCTCTTAAAACCTGAGGAAGAGTAATGCCTAACCTACTTAAAAAGGCTGTGTGGATGCTTTTCAGAAAGCATATATAGACTTTTTCGGAAAGCATATATAGACCACCTTGTAGATCAAGAAAAAACACATTTGTATTCTTAAGAAACGTTCTGTATTTCCTTTAAATTTCCTATTTCAGTTAAGTCTTTCGCTGTCCCAGGGGAAGTGCAGTATCTCTTTTCTGAATTTGCATGAAAATATTTTGAAAGGATGGAAAGACCCGATTAAGGCAATGTTCCTTGAACTCGTCATAAATACACACACTAGCGCAGTTTAAAAAAAAAAAAAAAAATCTTCTTTCCATAAGAGACATTTTGTCTAATCTTAATGATAAACTGGTTAAAGTACTGCAGTGTATGTGTGGTGGTTTTGGTTTTTGCTTTTTTTCTTAGCAACCTACAACACCCCCTTTTCCTCTGAAAGTCATTCTTTGGAACAGATGGAAGAGGGTTACATCCTTCCACAAGTGGGGAGGTATCTAGGCAAGCAATTGGCTTTTTTAAAACATGCAGTTCTCTACAAGATACTTTAAATGGTAAACAGAACATGTAACATATCGTTTGTATGTATCAGAGACAAAAAGAGGTCTTTATACCAGTTTGTACAAGTAGAAGCATTGGGTTTACTGTCTTTTTAAGTAATAGTTTTGCCTCTCTTTTGAGTGAGCCTGAAGAAAAGTGCAAATTCTTCACCTTGTCAGGTGCAATGGCGTGGTTTTAATATCTAGTTCTCAGAGGCTTATCTTGACCTCTACTAAAGGATTCTTCCCTTTAAAGAAGCAACTGATAAGCATATCAATGTATTTGCATTCACCGATCTTCATCTTGTTCTGAAAATACTATAGTTGTGTGACAGTCCTCTGATTTTAAGCAAGAAATAATTATTTAACTAGAGATTATGTCACCATGTGAGCCACATTTGAGAACAAAATGGCTCGTCTGTTTTAACTTGTTTTTACAAGACTGCTCCATTTATTCTGTAGATATTTTGAACATTAGGCAAAGGACTCCTTAGTCTTAGGAATAAAAGACTATGAAGAAGCTACCAAATAATTAACAAAATCAGACAGAGTGGATCTAGCTTTTTTGGTTTTTTTTTTCCCTTAACGATATTCCCTCTTACTCCTAAGTGAGTTTTCCTCTAGTGTCCTGAAACTTCTGAAGAAGTTTTGCGTCTCATTTTCAGTCACTGTTGACAGTTCAGGACTACTTAACATCTAGGGGTGTTTCTGTTGAATGACTGTTCTTTCAAAGTTTTCTTTTTAGTTGCTACTATTTCTTGATACAAATATTGTAACAAGGTTATACTGCAAAGTTGCAGAGTTTTTGGGCTGTTAGTCACAGATTTTTCGTGAATGCAAAATAGAGGGCAAATGATTTTTTTCATTATGTTTTAATCTAGTGTTCACAATTTCTCTTTTTCATTCACATCTTTTATTAACATTAGAGGAAACTGTAGTGTAAAACATTGTGCTCTTTAAACTGGTTTCTCACCAGCCGCAAAGGTTTGCTCTGTCTCACATTCAGTTTTATCTTTGTGTGTCCATTGTTCCCCTATTGAGTACTTTTCATCTTTTTATGTGCATGCTGATCTTAGGCATATTTAAATTATATTCTTTTATGCATGTGGTTTGACTAGGAATTCTTATTGTTGGTAAGAGGAAACACTTTAATTGCAGGGGCTTGAAGATTACTCTTAAGATCTTTCTAGCTAATTTCTGGTGAGAAGTAAGGCACTAGATCTCTCTTTCAAAGATGAAGTTATCTGTCAACCGCTGAAGAGTATATAACAGGGTTGTTACACCATTATAAAAAGGCAGCTATGTTGTTTTTTGCTACCTCTTTAAGAAAGATTCTAGACTTCCCCAGATGAAGCGAATAGTTGCTGTTTTCTCTATTACTTTACCTCATAGACCGTCTCTGTCTTCAAAGACAATGTTGAAAACCCCACATCAACCCCTTCCTGTAACGGGATGTGCAAAGTTCTTCCAGCAGAGCTCCTAAACTAAAAAATATTAATTCCTGAATTTACCTTCCTCTGCTGTGAATTAACTGTAACTTTGGGCTTATATTTGTATTAAAGATTATATACTTACAAACTGTTTTCTGTTGCTTCTCTGTTTTTAATTATTAAGAGCATATGAAAGAGTAGCTGGATATTATCCTGACATTAAGTGAATTAAAAAAAAAATACAGATCCCAATCAACAATCTGTATTCCAAAATTATGTTTACAGTACGTAAATGTCAGCATTATATTGGATCTAAATTTATATTATAACCAATAAAATAGCAGAAATTAATAAATTCATGATATTGACAGAATATTTAAATGTTCTGGAGCCAGTAAGTAAAGCTGCTGACTACAGATCCTATTTAATTTGTGTATTTTCCCCATTTATCTCATTCTAATGTACTTGGAACTACTGTACGTGAGCAGCATCCTATCTGCTTCATGGAATTTCTTCTCACTTCCCTGCTCGGGAGCAGCGTCAGAATGGCTCCTTGGGGAGCTGCTAACAAAGCCTGCATGTGTAGTTGTGATTTGGCAGTTTATACAGACAGATTTTTTTTTTTTTTTTTTTTTTTTTTTGGCTTTTAATGTTGGTCTGGTGGGTAGTTTAAGCGTACATTTGTCTAGAGAATTAAAGAGTTAAAAAGCGGGCTGCGAAAGGCTTTGGCAACCTAGAGGGAGCTAGCAAGCTCCAGCCCTGACTCATTCTGCCTGTGTCAGTCCGATAAGCATCAGCATCTGTCACGAATGCAGGCAGGTAGGGTTAAACTCCGAGCATGCAGAGAGTGAGGAGCAGGGAGCCTGCACTGCAGGGGTTGTAATGTTTGTTCCCGGTTCTTCAATTCTCGTCAGCCCTTCAGCTACAGGAGATCTATACGGGATCCATGGTAACGGTTTTAGCACACTACACTTCCATCAGCTTGTGACAATAGGCTGTGTTTTAGTTGCTGACTGAAGAGCTGTCTCCTTTATAGAGCAAAAAAGAGATTAGTAGATTTACAGTGAGTGAGGACCTGAGTGATGAAATAAATTTAAAAAAAAAAATCTTAGAAAACGTGATTTAATGAGGTAGAAATTGCACAGCAGGCTTTTGCATTCATTCCTTTCACACACGTAGCCAAGCCAGCAGGTAGCTCGGGTGCTGCACATCGTTGAGAAGAACTTGTTCTTTTGTTCTGTTGGTTAATTAAACTGAAGCAAACACGAGAAAATCAGCTGAAATTAAACAACTGCTTAACAAGTTAAGTGGTACTAATTTAGAAATTATAGTAAGAAATACATTGTAATTCCTGCTATTTATACCTCTCTTCAGAGCTGATTGTATCCGAGCCAGACTGCAGTGGTGTCCCAACAAGAGTTCCAGATCTTTAGCAAGCTCTTTTAGAGAAATAAAATCTTACTGGTATTTCTTCCCCTCCTAAAGACCAATTAGCTTCTAGTAGCTATAGTTTATTAGAATCTTCCAGGAGAAAGACCAGTTTGTTGATTAGAAGCCCATGCTGAGAAGATTTTTGGTAGTATTAAAGGGTACATATGTCCCTTAGCTGACTAGCAAAGGATCAGGCTACGTTCTCATGTAGTGTCACTAATTGGATAGGTTGGAGACATTTTCTTTTTCTAGATGAATCAGAACTGAATTACTTTTAGCTATATTACAGCAATGATTTCCTTAGCCTGGTGCTTTGATTTGATTCAATGTATGTGTTTAAAAAAAAAAAACAAACCCAAAACCCCAACCTGGGGGAAAAAAAAAATCAAAACCAACAATCCCAAATGCCCAACCTAAACCCCAGATTAATCAGTGTGGGAGACATTCTGCCTGCAGAGTGGTAGCCATGTTGGTAGCTTAAGGGTTAATCTCTTGTTGCTGTAATACGATTTGAGAGCAGCAGCTCAGTCTGCTTGTGTTAGCAAGATTAAAAGCAGGAGCTGCAGTGCCATTGCAAGCACTGAATGAGTGGGGCTGTTGAAGAGTGAACTGTAGCTGAATTTTGTCTTTTCTTCTTGCTTTTTTCACCAGCTCCTCCCCCCTTCGTTCCTTCTCTCAAGTCTGATGATGACACCTCAAATTTTGATGAACCAGAGAAGAATTCGCGGGTTTTATCCTCTACGCGCCAGTTGAACCCAGCAGGCTTCTCGGGTGAAGATTTGCCGTTTGTGGGGTTTTCATTCATCAAGGCATTAGGGATCCTCAGATCAGAGTAAGTAGGAATTATTGCTTAGGTGGATAGGACCATTGGAAAAATGCGAAGGTTTGTTACAGTGACGGTGTGTGTGTGGGGAAAAGCTGTTTTAACTGGCCCGTACTCTGCTTTAGGGAAGCTGCCAGATTCTGGCTTTATCTGTTGCTGCTGTGGCTTGTGCATGTCCTACTGTTCTGTGATTATTTCTGGGATGAGGGGGAGGGAAGGGAATGGAAAGATTGACTCTAAAACAGTTACTGTTAAAATTGTTGTTCAAATACTTCGAATTAGTTGTTGCTGTTAACCAGGGAGCAGTAGGTGATAGCATTTCTGGTATTGCAGATACCTGAAAGAAGAACACTGAGGAGTTCAGAGATGGAAAAGGGGGGGTGTTATTTTATTTGGTCAGAGAGTGGGCACCAAGTGCTGGGGATGTGTAAGGCTGAATCAGTGATCCACAGAAATGGAGCTCCACTAATCTGTGAATGTGCAGTGATGGGTCAGTGAACAAGACAAGGAGCTTCCCAGCAGCTGACTGTGTGCTGTTGGGTTAAGTTAAATACGAAGACTGCTGTATTGTGTGTTAAGAGACTGGAGACTCAGATGAAGTATGCAGGGTATGTTTGTGGAGGTGGGTAAAGGTCTAGAAAAAATGGTTTTCAGAAAACATGCTTTCTGAGAGAATGGAGTCGGAGAAAAAGAAGAATATTAATAGTATGGTATAAACCATTTGGTGTAGTGGGTGGTTAGTTTCTGATGACAGAGCTATTGAAAAAGTATTAGTGCAGTACGTTAAGTTGAGAAGTCCTTACCTCAGTCAGTATCATGAGGCCTCTCAGGAATGCAATGGCTTTAGCTGGGTTAGTGACTCAATGCACTAAGGGGCTGTGTTTTTGTGTCAACCATCGTTCATTGCTGCTAGTTAGTTCCCTTAAGGGACTTCGTTGTCAATCTGTCTTAATTAAGTTTTCATTTTTTTCATCATATTGGTTGTGATAGTTGCTCTGCGGTAAGTGTGTAACGAAATCTGGTGATACTGTTGACATCTTTGATCTTGCCCACACTGTGAATCAAGGTTATATGATAGTTAAGCCAGTAATAAAAAGGGAATCTTTGGTTGTCCCTCCTCAGCAGAGTTGCTTTTATGACAAAAGAGGAAGGAAGGGAGAGGACATAACAACCAAAAAAGTATTCTTTTGGTGAAATGATCTAATAGTCAGCAGAATTAGAAAAATGGAATGTTATATCTGTAGATACCTGGGGTTAAAATCTATCTTGATTTAGGAGTGAAAGTGTTATCTTTTCTGCCTGGGGAACTGCAATCCATCTATCAAGGCTACATGACCATTCATGACAGTCAGAAGAGGCTCAACAGTGACCATAGATGTATGGTAAAATGTATATGCAATCAGGGCTCAGGACTAGAACTGAAGAGGAGTGTGAGCTAAAGTCTCGGAAGCAGTGGTATAACTGTGCTGAAGGCTGAAAAGTAATATAGATATAGCAGATTGATTGATATGCTTTCTTTGAGAAGCTAGTACCGAAGATGCATATTGAAGTTATATTTGAATTTTGGTAATAGATGAGAAGAGGTACGGCAAAAGAATAGAGATTAATGTATTCTGGACAAATTTTGACGGAAGTAAAATTTCTGCTTGGTGTGGCCTGGTTTTTCTGGTTGTTTTTTGTTTGTTGGTTGGGTTTGTGGTGGTTTTTTTTTTTCTTTTTTTTTCCCGAGCTGGAACAGAAAGACATCATGTACTTAATTTTCCTCCAAATAATTTTAAGACAAGTAGATCTTAGTGGTTTCTTTTTTTGAATGAGATCTTGATAAATGCACTTTGATATTTTTAGCAGTAAATACTTGTATTTTGTTCTAAGAAGGTGATTTAAATATGGCAAAGACTGTATGGAGACTTGAAAATATCTGTATTTAAATAATCCAGTGACTAGTTTATTCTCAATATCACTGCAACACTGTGTCATAAAGATAACTTCTTACTTACAAAATATTGTGTGGTGTATGTTTTACTTGAAGAAATCAAGTACTGTTTCTGTCCACACTAGCTTGACTATTAAATTCTAGATGGGGAAGAGAACAGTAAATGGGGGGGGTAGGTTTTATCTGTTGTGAATCTTGGCATGTCTTCTCTGGAAGGTCCTAAGTCATCAATTTTACCAGTCCAGAATATTTCTTCTTAAAATCTTTCCTCCAAAAGTCTAACCCTTATGGTTGCTAAGTGATGCAGATCGGTTTTCCTGTGTCTGCAGCATGATAGCTCTAATGCCTCTAGTGCTGCTCACAGTTAGGCCAGGCAACTGCAGAGTGCCATTAACAAGGTCCTTGAACTTTCACTGCTTTTAATTTGAGGGCTGTCAAGCTATGGAGTTTAGGGTTATACTCTTGCCCTGTTCACTGGACAATAAGAAGCTATAGCTGAGCTAGGAATTTCAAATACTTCAGAGAAAGGACAGTTGAGAAAAAATTGGACAGAAGGAGGATAGAAGAAGTTCTCTTTTCCATTCTCCTCTTTCTCCCAACCACTTAGGGTTAGAGGGGTTCACCTAGTCACTTAGACCTGTTGCCAGAAATTATGTAGTTGGTGTGTAGTTTAGAAGGGTCCGTTGAATGAAAATATTCTGGTTGTCCCATACCATGAGTTTTGGGAAGAATTTGTGACCCTATAACAAATGTAAGATTTAACAAAGAGCAAAAGGCATGACAATAATGTGTCGTAGGAAGCAATCAGGAGAAATCAAGGGCATTGCTTATGTCATAGGTTCCTGTACTGGTAAAGTGTTTGTTAAATAAATCTCCTATATGATTCTAAGAACTGGGATGAGGCTGCAGAGAAGGACCAGCTAATTCCTCCCATCATGGCCTCTGAATTCTTGATTTGGGGGAAAAATGCCTGTCTGACTGAAAATTTGGCTGCTGGTTTGGCTGCGAGTGTGTGATTGTGACAAGATAACACGCAACTGAGTTTAATTCCATTAAAAGCCAGCCCCACCTTGCTTCCTGTCCCTAACTGTGGCTGATCTCCAGTGCTTAGAACAAGTGAGAAAAACCCTTAGATGCCAGAAATATGCATCAAGTGGTGAAAGAAAATTGTTCTTGTCCTTTGCAGGTGACAGGTAGAAGCCCTAAGGCATAAGATAAACACATTGTAAATCCAGGGCAAACCAAATATACCAAAATATCTAATAAAAATAAATACCTAATAAAAAATAAATACCTAATTAAAAAAAAGAGGTTTATTATGTAAAGTTTTGCCTGCCTCTGTCCTCTCTTAGACTGGAGTAAGGACCTAAAGGGGCTTAACTACTTATGATACAAAACTTAGGTTAATACAATATACTTGCTAAACCAGAACCTAGAGATATATTCACAGGCAAGGCTGACAGTGGGACTAGTACTTAATCTCAGTTGCTGGTATAGAGTGGTTTTTTTTTTTTAAATTATCTTTCAGAATATAATAAATGTAATCCTAGTAATTCTTGAATTGTGGTCTGTGAGGTTTTGGTAGATGGTCCAAATCTTTTCTGTAGGTTCCTAAGAAGTAGTATTTTTCAGGATTTTTTTTTTTTTAAACTAAATTTTAAAATTTATATGGATTAATGATTGTCATTATAACTGGGATTTAAAATGGGCCATTCTTCCAAGAAGAAGGACTACTGATTTCTTCCAGCAGTTTGTCGGGTTCTGGTAAACTCTTTCACCAAAGATAGATTAAAGAGGAAGCAGAGGATGAGCATACCAAAAATATGCTTTGCTTCAGCTAGCTCTATTCACAGATTGATGGTATCACTGTTTGGTTTTGGTTGGTTTTTTTTAGGCCTGAGCAAGCATTTACGAGGGGGCGGAAGGTACAGATGAGTATAATGCTAAAAAGAATAGAGCATGAGGGACGGGGGATGAGATTATAGGCATGTTGTGTGGGGGCCAGGATTAGGACAGATGGTGTCAATCGTTGTGAGAAGAAAGAAACACAGGTGAGTCGGAGGTTTATGAGAGTGGCATAAAAGGACAAAGGAAGATATGAGGTTTGATGCACAAGAGACGTTAAGATATGAGTTTGATACCTCAGAATCATCTTATAGCTTTTCCTGTACTATTTTCTTCTTCATCTCAACCACATTAAGACTGGAGGAGCTTTTACACAACTAGCACCATTTCTGGTCGTTCTGCTGGTTGAGGCTGTTGCTGATCTAGCTGTGAAATCACTAGATAGTCAGCTGTAAGTTAACTTGTTTTTTAGTCATGCAGGCAGTGCTTCTTTTAAAAGTAAATTGGCACAGCTAGTGCTATCAGTGCTTGGTATGGTAGACTTGGCTTTGGGGGTTTTTTTAATCTTTTATTGCAATTTTCTTGTTGATGTGTGTGGGTTACCTTTTGTTAATCTTTTTTTCACACTTCAGAGGAAACAGCAGAAACTGCTCTGTTGTGCTAAGAGAATTGATCCAGATGTAGCAGTTAATTACATGAAATATTGTGAGATGGTACCAACCTGAACGATAGCTCTGCATCATGGCTTTTGGTGTTGGATTGTATGTGTTTAATTTCTGAGATGATGCTGATTGAGGAAGAACGCAAGTGTCCCAGCAATGTGGGTCTTTTGCACCTTGTCATGCTGTGTTGAGAGCTTATATCACCATAACAAGGCTTATTAGATTAGTCAGTATTCCATTTCTCTTGATTTCCTCTGTCTGCCCCCTTTCTGGTAATTTGAAGGTTGTATGGATGTTCATGAAGTTGTTCTAATACGATTTGTACACAGGGAAGAATTACTGGGAAAGGATGTCTCTTAAAAACCGTGTGTCCAGTGCTAACTGAAATCAGCTTCACTTGGGGATAAGATGTACTATTTCCATGGCAGGAAAATCGTGATGTCTCCAGGACACATGTGTTTAAGGAATTTCTTCCTCCCTTTGGACAGGGATGAGGAAGAAAGATTGTAGCTCTAGTTTGTAGCCGTCTCTTTCCTTACAAAACTGACACCAACCCTGAGGAGCAGCTCCCTCTAGAGTCACGTAATGAAATTCAAACTTCGGTCGGTGCCAGTCTCCTGTGGTCTGTCCCATCCCATCACTCCTGGCTGAGCAACGTGTCTTTGCAGAGCTCTGTATCTTGTCTGAATCTGTCCCATTACTTTCTGTATTGCAGTGCATATGGATGCTTTAAGCCTGCTTGCTAGAAGTTTTTGAAATGCAAAATGGTGCCTGTAATATTAGGCTCTGATTCTTTTAACAGCAAATAAAACAAATAAGCAAAAATAACCAATAAAATCAGCCCCTTTAGGGAGGTGAAATAGAAGCAGCAAATAAAACTAGGTCTGTGAGAACTGGCTAGAGTTTTCTTAGCTAATGTCTCAGATTTGAAAAGAGTAAAAGTAAAAAGGTGATGGTTAATGTTGAAACTATGACTAAAAAAAAACCCCAAAATTGCTTTAGCCAGTACAGTTCAGACCTGTAAAGCTAAGTTTTTATTATAAGAAGATTTTCAGACTTGTCTCAGTACACATTTGCAGCTATTTACATACATTTGAATAACATTTTAAAGCAGATTCCTTAGTGTCTTTTTTAGTTGATGTGAGCTTTAATTTGTATTTTTAGACTGCTTTTCTCAACTATTCATTTTTAGCCTTGTTTGTACACCCAGCTGTTATGGGATTTAATATGCATTTTTCTCAGATGGTTGCCTTTTCTCTGTAGGAGTATAGACACGCTTTATAAATTGATTTTTAAGTACGATAATCTGATGGATCGGATTGATTGGACCAGGACTAAAGGAATGCTTTACAAAAGCATTCACTTCTAATATGAGTTTTTTATTAAGTCCGGATCATTGTTGACATGCAGGATTCTTTCTTCTAAGTTTTTCCACATCAAGTTTCTGAAGAAATACTAATATTTGACCTTCCAAGGCAGAATTGGTGGATTTTGCTATGTTTGCTAATATCAAAATAGTGTTTCCTAATGACTGCTTAAGGTGGTGGTACTGAAGATGTATTTTGATAGAGATTATGTTGCTGCAGCATTTTCATAAAATCCATGTGTCTTTTTTTGTGACTATCCTGCATATCTATTTGGATTAAGGAGTAGATTTTTCTCAGAAAATGGTGGTGATGGAATCAAACTTTCCTTGGTGTTAAGAAGAGACTGTGCTGCTGTGTGTGGGTGTATGGCTATATGCAGAGAGCTGCTCAAAGCTCATTTCTCTCCATGGGGATAACTGGCTGCATACCAAACTGTGGCCAGGAGAAGCAGAAAGCAATGTGTGGGCAGACTGTATGATCTTTTATTAGTACCTTCATTGTACTTCTGCGTTTCCATCTATCAGTTAACACTGGTTCCATCATTAACTGCTTAAATATCTAGTTTGAATCATTTTATGCAAGGGAGAATGTGATTTTTAAAATTATGTGATGTATGTACTTAATTTTTTGGTTGCAAATTACATATTTAAGACTGCAAAGCACTAGAAATATGTTCCAAAACATTGAGTGGCTTCCTATCCTTTTCTAGAAAGAATTTAGACTAACAGAAATGGTAAACTTCTTAAATGTTGAGTCCCAATTAGACAGAAAGCTCAAGAACTTGTAAATATTCTCCCCAGGTTTCTGGAGTCAAATTGTTTTGAATAGTACAGTTAAGTTTTCATGAAAAAAATTACTTGTAAGTGGAACTCTTAAGTTCTGCAGTGTGGCTAATCATATTGATATTGATTGAGTTTGTAGGGATCGTACGAATTGGGTTAGGAAAGTTTCAGTTCAATTTTGGTTCACAGGAGGTAACTAAGGATATTAAATTCTTCTTCCTGTGGTGCAGATTATGACATGTTAAAGTTCTTAGGGCTTTGGTACTTTGATGATAGTTTTAAAACCTATTTAAAAATAAAATACAAAATAAAAAGCAATTCTCTGAAAATTTGTTCTTTCCAAATGGTTATGTTGACTTTATGCTTTTTGTTACACTTAAAACTCCGTACAAATTATGCAAAAATGTTGCTGTGACTTACTGTTTTGCACTCTGACATAAAAGTCACTGATGGAAAATATTAATATTGTAACTAGAAGTACACATGGATTATTTAATAATGATATACTGTCATCAGGTTTTATGGTATGTTTGATCTGAAATGATGGCTGTTAGACTGTCGTTGCTGCACCTTTCTTTTATCCTGACATAAGTACCCACCCAATGACTTTACCAAGGCTGCATAAATGCAGGTTTCTGTACCTTTTGCCTATATTCATGTGCTGTTTGGCTTTGCTCTTTTAGATCTGTTTTTTCAAGTGTGGATTCTCCAGCTAAGGTCAGCTCCATGGAAAAGAAACTTCTGCTCAAGAGCAAAGAACTCCAAGACGCCCAGGACAAGTGTCACAAGGTATTTATTTATGCGATTGGCCATCTTCATTGCTCCAGGAATCTGCAACCACTGTATGTCCAGGGATCTGTCACATGCTGCTGATCATCCAGACTCGTGGTGGGCAAAGTGCTTTTCCTTCAGTGAGGTGGCTTCCTATCCAATGCAAAGGGAGATGAATCTAGGCCATGCTGTTGCTCTAGATACTTTTATCTTAACAAGAAGCGGCTCTGGATTTTAAACAGTCCTTTTCTCAGCGTGACACAGACAACTGCTTCTTCCTGCAGGCCGTGCCTCTTCATCATACGCACAATTACAGCAGTACTGTTCTGAGGTTCTCTTCCTAACTCATCAGCTTCTACTTACATAACTGTTGTCACGTCACTGGTTATGGTGAACATCTTGTAACAGTTGCTGTGCTTCAATAAAGGGAACCTGGTGGAGTCTTTTAAAACTTACTGCTTGTTTGAGACTTTTATGAGAGTTCGATTACTTTTCTCCCCTCTCTGTTCTGGATTTGACCATTTGCTCCTGACAAGGAGATGGGGGGAAACCATCTTCTGGTCCAGCATGGATTTGGGATAAGGTTAAAGTGACCCATCTCTGCAAGTCAGGTGAAAAATGATTGTGTCTTCTTTGCTAACTGGGGTTCGAAGAATGACTGAATATGAACAAGCAGCTTGAATGAATGGGGTGACTTAGACTTACTACTTGTCCTTAAGAAGAACTGTGCATTCCTGGAGCAGAGACAATGGTATCGGAATTTAAACACCATTTTGAGAAACATAGCTAGAAGTCTCTTGGAGACAAATTCCTTACAAACAGAGCTCTGAAAGTAGCAGTTAACAAAGCTTTTGAAGCCCCCTTTATAACCTCTTGATATTTATTGCAGATGGAGCAGGAAATGACGCGGTTGCACCGGAGAGTGTCAGAGGTGGAGGCTGTACTTAGCCAAAAGGAGGTGGAACTGAAAGCCTCTGAGACCCAGCGATCCCTCCTGGAGCAGGACCTGGCCACCTATATCACAGAATGCAGTGTGAGCCCTTACACCAGTCCTTTCAGCTCTGAAGGCCTGAAATCTGGTGGTCTTTGCCTTTCTCTTCCATCATGGTTTCAGTGGGGTACTTGATGGAGAGAAAATAATATGTGAGAGGATATCTGTTGAATATGGAGCCCTGAATTGTTTGCAGAGGCTTGCTTGATAGTTTTATTCAAACTTTGTTTCATGGTCATGTGCTTAGAACATACAGGAATAACTATTGTCCTGGTCTTGCTGAAACTGTTTGTGATATTTGTCTTACTGGCTGTGCTAGAACATGCTTGGGTTTGACTTCTTGCAGGTTTCTTAGCCAGAAGAGGATGGGGCCTGATCGGTACCTTCATCTGTGTTGCCTTCATCTGTGGTATTCTGAGTTCAGACTGATCCAGTTCCCCAGCATAATGTCAGGGATGATGCTAGGACAGGTGCTATTTTTCAGATCAAATATAAAAATGAGGCCTTAAAACTGTGTCTTCAAAAATCATTTGGCATTTTTCATGGGAGCTGGAATATCTGCCCAGTTGTGCTGACAAGATTCCAGTGAGGATATTTTCATTCTAGTTAATAGTCTCTGTATTTTCAGTTGGATATGATATTCTGTTTCCTCTCTTGTACCAAGAACAAAAATCTAGATAATACTTTGTTTCAGAGAGTTGGAAAGCATTTCTGATGGGTTGGTTTGTTGGGAAACGTATGTTAAAACAGGGCTGAGTGATTTTTCGTATACCAGATGCTACTAGGTAAATAAATAAAATGAGGTTTGTATCTTTCTGTTGAAGAATAATATACAGCTGATAGGAGGACCACCGGTCTGTCAAAATTTGCAGGTGAGATATGTGGTGAGATACAGAAGCAGCTCTTCTGTTCTTTGTAGAAGTTTAACGATTATTGAAAGGATTTAACTCAACAGCAACAAGAAAAATGAATAGGCTTGTTAGTAACATGAAGTTGAAGGATTGTATCTAGGTTGTGAATTAATAGTGCTAGATAAAATATAGATAAATGCTGTCAATAATGGATGCCTTTTGTGATCTCTGTTTGGTTTTTGTCCTGAACCTGATGTGAGGAAGTAGAGATTTGAACTAAGATTTCAGTGTAGTAAACAGTGTTTGTAAAATGGGCTGCTTCTATCCAGATAGAAGCAGCACTAGCCATGAATTTCTTTCCGGTCCCATCATTTGTGCCTTGATTTTTTTTTTTTGATGCCTCGCTGCAGTCAAGGAGGCATTTGTATAGCTAAAATCTTTATTATACAGCCATCTGGAAAACCAAAGACTATGTATTGAACACTTTGCTTTCTGCAGAGCTTAAAGCGAAGCCTGGAGCAGGCACGGATGGAGGTGTCTCAGGAAGATGACAAGGCACTACAACTACTTCATGATATCAGAGAGCAAAGCCGAAAACTGCAAGAGATAAAAGAACAGGTATACCTGCTTCTTTGGGGAGCAGAGTGGCTATGTACATATAGGTGTTCTTGGCATATTCTAGCTCTGTTGCCAAGATTACATTTTATGTTGGTAGGCTGTGATGACTCCCAATCTGTGTGTTTTCACATGGTTTCTTAAACAAAATGGGAAGCAACAAAATTACCCTTTTGTGTATATTGCAAGTAAGCACAAACTATAAACTTCAAGTTTTTCTTTTCCTAGTCCTGAAAGTACTTCGTCTATAAAACCAGCTTACGAGAAAGTTGCAATGCTTTAGTAATATACTGCATTAGAAATCAACTATCCATTTTAAGTGGTCAAGCTATACAAATTTCACAACATATTCATGAATGAGAGAACTGACCTAGCTTTAGTTGTGTGTTGTATTTTTTTTTTTCTTATCTGGCCATTTAAAATGCTTAATAGTCTTTCAGAATAGAATCTGTGTTGCCTAGCTGTTTTTTTCCTGATGTAATCTATTTGCAAAGTAGATGGTTATAATTTTTTTCCACCAGAAGAATGTTGAAAATTCATTAATCGATACAGTTGTTCATAAGGAAAAAATGTCAAAATTAAATGAAAATATAGTGACAAATGTGGACTTTTTTAGGATTTAAACTGGTCTACAATACAGAACCCATTCAGTTTTATGAATTAATAGCAACATATTGAGAAAAAGAAACTGAAATTTGCTATGGCCTTCAAGCAATTCTTTGCAATTATCTGTTGTTTTTCATCTTCAAAGCACTTTACAAACATTAACAGACTAATTTCATGGTGTTTGAGACAAAGAAGCCCTGAAACCTTGGTAATAATTCTCCAGACATGAGCAGCTCTTATGTAAAAAGTAATGAAATGCAAAAACAACCCTCTGGATGTAGCAGGCCTCCATAGACTTCTACAGCATTCTTCTGGATGGTTGTTTTATATAACAGAAGGGATCTAAAGCTCATTACTCTGTGTTCTGATGCTTTGTTAGCATGATGCTTTAAATATTGAAATGTGGAACATTTTTGGTGATGATAAATATCAATAGATTCTTAGGCAGTACAGATGCATGTAACAGAGGAAAAATAATGGAAGTAATTTTTAATCAAATCTTTTGTCCCAGAATCTTTTAATTTGGCTTGGGAAGATTCATGATGACATAAAAATGCTGCTTAGGTCAACAAATGAATGTGTAATATCCTGCAGACTTTCATATCTGGGGTGGTCTTCTGAGCTATCTGAAACTCATGTGCAAGAACACCACAACAAAATATGCAGAGATGTTTTTGCTGACTCATACCAGCAGGTGGATCTTAGCCATTTAAGACTTGGATCATTTTTTAAGTCAAGAGGGATCTGGGAGGTGAGATGGAAGAGTGCCTTAGAATTTTGCTGTTGAAAATCTGAAGCTTGAGAGAGAATGAGTAAAATTAACAGCAAGTCAGAATCTTCAAAACCCACTAATTAGGCATCTGGTATTTTCAGGGCAAGATTATAGGTTCAACTTAACCCCAGGTACTTGAACGGTAGAGTGTGGTGTGTTTGTGGGTTTTTTCTTTTTTTTTGTTTGGGGTGTGTGTTTGGTTTTTGTTTTGTTTTTTATAACTAGCTGTGTTCTGGTAGTTACTTGATGAACACCTGTATGAATGGATGAACTTGCAACAAATCAGAATCTATATTTTTTTGAAAGCCCCACTCATTTGTATGCAGCTACCCTGATGTGATTTGCTTCAGGTATATGCCCTGAGCTTTGCCTGTCCATTAATATGTGCTTGAGTACCTCTTGATAGTTTTTAAACTATGAGCAATGCATATGCAGGAGGTATTGTTCTGTGTTGCCTTGAGTGATGCAGCCTGTTCCTCTGACCTGGCCATGAGATTTATTCCAAGATAGTCTTGCAAACATCAAGAAACAAGAAAAACTGAAATATTACTAATTATCTCCTCTTCTTTTTTGTTTTATCCTCCCTATTATCCTTCCTTCCCAAACACTCATTTTCACAGTGGCAGCTGTAGTCATGCCTACAATTCTTTGGTCAAGTGTTTGCTGATATGAAAGCTGACTATTTTAGGAAGTCTTAACAAATTATGATTTCTGAGCAGAACATGTATTCCTTCAAACCATTCTGCCTTTTTTATTCACAAATGTGTCTGTATGAAATGAATATTTGAGTTAACGTATGCTCACTTATTATAAAAAGGCTCTAATTCTTTCCAGCAAGAAAATAGGATCATCCATAGAGGGACTAACTGGAAAGATTAGGTCCCCTGTCTGCCTTACAAACTGGAGAACCAATTTGGGGATTACAAATCAAAGAGCCATTCTGCCATGTTCCCCATAAAGGATAGTAAAGCAATCTGTTAAAGGCCCAGCTTCTTTAAATATCTGCAACATAGATGTTGCTAGAGAATCACAGGCTGACATTAGGGTCAGTGTTCATGCAATCACTTGTCTAACTAAAGACAGCTGGCTGTCTGGAAGGAGTGATGACAAACCTGATTTTGTCATGCGACAGTTACTCTTTTAAATATGGGGGTAGTCAGGCATGTTGTAAAATATTAAAATGGAAAGAAAGGTAGACTCCCCCACTATCAGTCCTTCATAATCTTTCTTCCTAGCTCTTGATGTGCATGTTTTCTACTTGTTCTCAGCTTCATAAAAAATGTTTTTGGTTTGGGTTTTTTTTTGTTGTTGTTGTTTTGTTTAGAGTAATTTTATAAAATGTATACTTACAGGACTTAGTAAATGCTAAATAAACATAATTAAATTATTTTTTTCCAGTAAAGATACAAGAAGCAATCTCACGAGCTAGTCTCAGTTTGAGTACCCAGTCTCATTGAGATAGTCAATTCAAACGTTCTTTTCTTCTCCCACCTTCCCCATCTAAATGCCCTATCTTGTAGTGTCCTGCATGGAGAATCATTATTTCTGCCTATATAAGCAAATATCTTTTATGGGCAATGTGGGGTTTAGACAGTTTTTCTAAGTTAATATTTGATTTTAGGTTGTCTCCCATACAGAGCAATATGATCCTTTTTAACTCTGTCAAGAGAAAATAACTGACGGCTAGAAGCCACAGTATGCTACCCCTCTGCCTCTCCTTCTTTCCTTTTACCCAAGCTGTACAGATCTGTAGTAATTGTAATGTTATCAGCCTGAGAAAATATATCTTGAGGGAGTATCTGGGCATTTAGTAGAGACATCAACTCAAAGGCACATTTCTGTTTCAGAAATTAGAGATGTAAGTAATTTTTATCATTTGTGTGAGGATGTATGTATGTGTTTCTGCAGTGAAGCCACTCTCAAAAAGACAATGTTTTGACTTTTATGAGGTATTGACTTGAAAATGGCAAGACTCAAACCACAACACCATGGATATGTTGTTTTATATAGCTCTTATTGTTTTAGTTTGTACTTTACTTTTCTTCCCTGTATTCTTAAATGCACCTCTTGCCTGCAATCAGTATTCTGGGATCTGCTGCTCCAAGTATTTCCCCTGTTGCCTCTAAAATGTAATACCTTTTCCTTCCCTTCCACCACAACTACAGGAATATCAAGCTCAAGTAGAAGAAATGAGGTTGATGATGAATCAATTAGAAGAGGATCTTATTTCAGCTCGCAGGCGTAGTGATCTTTATGAATCGGAGTTGAGAGAGTCCCGACTGGCAGCTGAAGAATTCAAACGTAAAGCTACTGAATGTCACAACAAATTGCAAAAGGTAGTTTAGGCTCCATGGGAGAGGGGGCTGATGCTTGCTTGAATTTCTAGTGCTGTTTTACACACATACATGAATTGTGTGTGTGTGTTTCCTCTAAAGATTAGCGTGGTTTGTACAACTAATACAAAATGTGTTTCAATTGTACACTCAAAATACTGTAATTTGTACTTTGTGTAACTGCTTCTGTTTAAATTGCATGAGTTGATGACTGGATAGAAGACCAGTGTACTACAACTTTTCCTGAGACTGTTATATATTTTATATTTAAGTTACAGGTTAAAGATCAAGGAAAAAATGAAGCAGGAGAGTTGTATACCAAATTGGAGAAGGTATGCTACTTCAGTGTCCTGGAGTTTGCTTCCTGGGTCTTTCATATTATGCCTAGAAGCCAAGAGTGTCTTTGGCTAGTCAATGGCATGCACAGCCTCACATCCCTCACTGTTTTATTTTATTTTTTAAAATCTTTTTCTTGGTGCGATTCACTGTTCTTTCTGATTTGATATGAAGTTGTGTCTAGATATCCTGTTCTTAATGGATTGTGTTCAGAAGCTAGGCAAAGACAGGCCATTATGTCTTATCTGAGTTTGGAGTTAGGTTAGTGATACATAAGGGTTTTCTTTATGAATGAAGAATAGCAAAGGAAAAATAAAACCAATTCTGAGTATTCTCACACTGAAAAATCTACTTGGTGACCAGCATATGAAATCAACCAGAAGTTAGTAAAATGGGAGTAGATTTGCCAAGGAGCATTTTGTAGTATTGGAATTTATAGGGAGTGAATTAAAATAAATATGGTATCATAAGTAGAGAACATATTTTCCTTTTTTGGTTTTACAACACTCTTCCCCCCCCATCTTTTTATTTAACTGTAGATCAATACAGAGCAGCAGGCCAAAATCCAGGAGCTGCAGGAAAAGCTGACAAAGGTAATGTCTGGGTGGTGAAAGTGAATTTTCCACAAGATTTTCCAGTGAAACCTTAATGCAGAGGAGGGATACACTTTGTTTTATCCTCAAAAATAGAATTAGTCATGGCATGGGGGATGATAAGGAAAAGGGGGTAGGAACTGGTATCTGAAATCATTGGTGTTCTCAATATGCTTTTGGCTCTTGAGACATGTCAACAGTGTTTATTTTTACAAATGAAGCTGAGTCAGAACTGGAGTAGTGTAGAGAAATTCTAATTTAAAAGGCCAGTTTGGGTATGCTGTATGCAATGCACTGGCCCCTTGCTTCTGAAGACAGGGTTCAGATGCTTTTAGTTCGTTACATGTTGGACTTGGTTTAGTCTCTCAGTATACTCTGTTTTAATTGCAAAATCACTTTCCAGTTCAGTTATTCACAGTAGAAATGTTGAATGATAAGGATTCACAACAGGATTAAAATACCTTAGCAATGTATGCTGAAGGAAGTACATAATATCTAATGTTTGCAGTTGTGGTCAGTCTGTCACTTAAGAAGGCACTGTAAGAACAGTAGGGGAACTTCTATGATTGGGATCTTTCAGCAGAAAAGAAAGGGGTTGTCATAATAATCCACTGAGAGAGCTTTTCAAACTTGGCATCTGCTGAGAGAGGGCTTTTTCAAGGGTTAGAGATCTAGAATATGAATAGGAGGCCAAAACTGTGTAGAAATAGTACTTCTTATATTTCAAACGTGTTTTAATCCCCCCTCCCCTTTTCTCCTTTCATTAATTCTAAGAAACTATCTGTAGGCCAACAGGTTATTCTCCTAGTGTTTTAGTAAGACTATTTTGTGAGTTCTTGCCAAGAACTTGAGATTAATTTGGGGATCGACTTTACTTTCAGTGCATAGAGACAATTAGAAACTTGCAGCACAGCAAGACAAATGTGTAGCTCTCCTGGGTTCCTGCACATGTTTGTAGGTTGTCTTAATTTTAGACTGCTAGGCCAAAGTTCTGTAGCAATTTTATTCAGAGTGTTGACCATCTCGAGGTTATGAACTTTTCACATACTAAGTTTTTGTGTGTGTGTTTTTCTTATAATACTTTTTTTTTTCCTCTGGACCTTTAGGCTGTGAAAGCGAGTTCAGAGGCAACTGAACTTCTTCAGAATATCCGTCAAGCAAAGGAGAGAGCTGAGAAGGAGTTAGAGAAACTGCAGAATCGGGAAGATTCTAATGAAAGCATGAAGAAGAAATTGCTTGAAGCGGAGGTGAGTGGAGAATGTCTATCTAAAGTAAATTAGTTATTGGGATGCATCTCAGTTTAGGAACCCTCATCTGGATGACTGTGAACAGTCTGTATTCCTGTAGTAACTATTCATGGGAAAGTGATGTTAGGCATTAATCCATTTTTAATTACAGAGCATATATGTCTTTGAAGAAAACCAAGAGGCTTTTTATTTTCAGTGAGGAGTCAATAAGAACATGTGGTTAGCATAAGGGATTTGAGGCATGATGAGGATTTCAACTATAAAAGACCACCATATATTGACTGATTCAGCTGACTTTTTCTAGAAACTACTCATTGCTTTGTGATAATGCAGAGATGGTTAGCCTAAATGGCAGTTAATAATTGCTCCACAGGAACGGCGACATTCTCTGGAGAATCAAGTGAAGAGATTAGAGACTGTGGAACGAAGAGAAAACCGTCTAAAGGAAGATATTCAAACTAAATCTCAACAGATTCAACAGATGGCAGAAAAAATTCTGGTGAGCAGAGGTGAAAATGAAAGATAAAGGGTAAGAGTTTGTAAGAAAGGGGTAGGAAAGGAACAGAAGACATAGAATTGCATTGAACGAGGTGGAAGTTGTTGAATAAAGGGATTGTTTCTTTCATACTTCTTGTTCCAGTCACCCTGGAGAAAGCTTAAGTGCTCAAATTCTATTTGCATCTTTAGTTACAAACTCACTCCGGTACCTTTAGTCTTAATACTACTTTAAAATTCTAGTTGTCTCAGTGGGAGCAGTTTTAAGTCAACTTAGTAATATTTAAATTAATTACCTAACGATTGCCTCAGAAGTAAAACATTCTCAGGACAGGATACTGCAACAATAGAAACAAACACTGATATCTAGCTTCTAAACTAAATTGCAAAGGAATTTAGAGGTCAGATCTACTTGAAATGCTTACATTTTGAAGCAAAGAGAAATTAGTCATCTAAACTGTTTGTCTCCCAAGGTAATATTTGTCAGGAATCCATTTTCACCCACATACCTTCTCTGTTGGCAATTTCTTGTTTATCTCCTTGTTAAACCTATTAAATCTTTATAGTGAGTTGTTATGTCAGTCTACGGTGAACCAAGCAGAAGGTGTTTCTAATGCTTTTACCTCCCTGGGACAGGAAGCATAGTTTTATAGTGGAATAATTAGTTCTGAGTTTTTCATGAGTTCTATTTCTGTGTTGCCAATATGATAAGGAAAAAACATTACATTTTATTGGTAGCAATCCTGAGCATAGACAACACCTGAGGAAGGCCAAATGGAAATGTGTAAGTAACTGTATTTGGAGTCAACAGATGACCCATACTTGTTCTGGGTAATAGCTGCATATGTAGACTTCAGCATCAGAATGCCTGAGCGCTCTCAAGTAAAAGTAGATTCAGTTCTCTAGTAGTGCTGTTTCTTGCAAATTGTTTTGATAACATGAGTGCATGGTAAGTGGGAGACTATGGTTTTGCTGGGCACAGAGCCAACTTATGTTTAGAAATAGTGTAAAACTTCAAATTGTTTCATAAGCCTCTTGCGTATATTTGGGGATTGTTCCTTGGTTTTGATTATGTTCTCTGTGGAGGAAAAACTGGAAGGGAATGCAGAAATATCAACTAATTGTTTTACACCATGGGATATGTTTAGCTCTTATAGATAGTTTCCACGGAGTTCTGACAGAATATTGGAGAGAGACGAAAGTATTTTATAAAAAAGTCAAATGGGCATTGAAGAAGTCCTACAGTCTTTCCTAGTCCCTTGCAGCTCTGATCTGGGAGCACAGGGTAATAGTTTTTCTTTTTTCTCCACTTCTACCCTGTTCATTCCCTCAAATTGATCTCTTCAAACACTTTTGACTTTTCCTGGTATAGAAAGTATAGAAAGGTAGGAAGGGAGCTGAAGATACAGAATTGCATAGAATAAGGTGGAAATTGTTGAATAAAGGCATTAATTTCATGTACGCTCATCTAGCAGTACCTGAGAAGTCCCTGCTGGTCTGCCTGTATAGAATTTAATAAGAAGTAAGAAACAAGTTAGAGAAGATGCTTATTACTGCTTGAAAGTGTAGATCATTGCTATCATGCTAATAAATAAAGTTAGTGCTACACAGAGAATAGTAAGTGAGAACTGGAGTGGTAAGAGATTACCTTTTTAAGCCCACACTGGCTGTTAAGTGCCACTGCAGAAACTGGTGAAGCTTCTGCTACAATATGAGCAGTCTGATGCTGGTAGCTTTGAAGCTGCTGCTGATCTGGTTGTCTGATTCTCTGCCAGGACCTGAAACGTGTGGGCTTCTGGGGGAGGTGAGTTGTCCCTCTTGTTGCTGGGAGACATATTTCAATTGCAAAAAGCAGCAATCTCCATTCCTTGCAGAAGTGTTGGGTACTAGGCACTGTAGATGACCTACTTTTGGTGAACCTCCTCTTTGATTCTCACTTCTGGAAAAAGACGTCTATTGCAATTACTGGAGCAAAAAAGTCTTTGTGTGTTTTCAAGATGAGGAAGTTCAGAAAAGAGACTATGAAAAGAGCTAAAGTAGAAATATCAGGAAACTTTCCTGTGCAGTAATGAAAGCTGACAGGAGACCTGGATGCATCCCAAAGCCTGAACTTGTCTATGCAAGAGTCAACCCAGTGGTAGTGAATGACAGACCTGGATCTGCCTCTTGTTCTAAGGAAATTGTTGGAATGGCAAATGTGACAATGAGCATAAAGTTCTAAGCTCAACTCTTGCAAGTTGTCCTGTTGAAAGATATTATAGATATATCCTGAATAATATAGTCAGCAGAAATAGCTAACTTCTGAGATACAAAATTATTTAAGTTCTTATTGTGCATGGCTCAAACTATCTGATGTGAAGTAAAGAGGTTAAAAATATTCTGGTATGTTCTACCATATATATTGCATCCTGCACTTTTCATTTTCCAAGCAATTTATAGTTATTCTGACAACATTCATCTGAGGAATACAGCAAAGTAAATACTATTCCCACTCGATGAATGTAGATGAAAAGCATAGGCAGCAGTGCCCCATTATTGAGGTCTTCTGTGAGAAAACAAGTGAGAGACCTTGTTAAAAATAGATCTGAACTTCCTGTGATGCCACTGCAGCTATAAAGTGTTTACAACTGCTTGTTTTCACAAGACATCCTTGTCCCATCTTTGGGAATGTTTCCTGGGAAATGGAGATTCTTACTGTGGAAGTAGAAATGTTTGTCTTTAGCAGTATTACCTGCTCTACAGTAGATGGGTCAGCAGCAATACGCAAAGCTTAAAATTGATAATGTGCAGCTCTCATAATGTTTTTTCGTTTTTTTTTTTTTTTAACATGACAGTCCTGGTCTTGGGATTTTTATAGTGTGAAGCCTTAAAAAAGAGAATGAATGAGTGTTTGATACCTGTGTAATACATACACACAGCACCTACTATTTCTTTGTGTCTGAATATGAATCTCTGCTTTTAGGAGCTGGAAGAAAAGCATCGTGAGGCTCAGATTGCAGCACAACATCTGGAGTTGCAGCTGAAACAGAAGGAACAATTCTATGAGGAAAAACTCAAAGTAAAAATATCTTCTTATCATCTTCCTGCAAGCTTTTGTAGGTAGAATGAGTTCAGGGTAAAACAGTTGCCTTTAGGCTCTGATTGCTTTGTCTTATGAGTTGCCTTCTTGCTTACCACTACTGAAATGTTCGGAGAGCTTAGTGGAATCTGATTAAGTTTTTCTTCTAGTCCATACCATTTTGTACCTTATCTGTCTTCAGCACTGCATTAAAACAGGTGGCATTTGAATTCAGAACTATAGGCAGGCAGTTGTTGATTGTAATTTGACTATTGCTGACTAAATAATACTTAATGCTATTGGATCTCACACCCTGAAAAAGCTTTCAGTTCCTACGGATGATTTTCTAAGAGTATTCATACAGCCTACCTGCAAGTTTTAAATTCAGCAAATACTAGAGCATTTCTGAAATTCCATCTTCTTGGAGCTGTAACATCTGCCAAGAAGCCACAGAAACCACCCACTTTGTTTTTGTGTTTTCCAGGGCAGCATAAGACATTAACAGTTAGAAATAGAATCATAGACACCATCTAAAATTAGGAAAAACAAATTGGGAAACAGGAGTATGTGCACTGTCTAAGGATTTTTCTAAAGAACCTGCACTACCTCAGCCAGTAAATGTGTTTTGTAAGAATCTTTGTTTCTACTAAGCATAACCTGTTTTCAGCAATCTTTATCTAGTAAGTTTACCCAGGACTTTTAATTCTACATTTCAGCTTAAATGTGAGAGGATGTAATATTTAAGAGGAGAGGAGGAATTTCTAATGAAGGGAAAAAAGAGAAGTAAGAAGGTTTCCTGGCAGACCAGAGCATGTGGTAATCAGTAATGAGAGGAGAGTGATAGAAAGCAGGAAGATGAGGGGTAGGTGTTGGGAAAGGAGAAGTGGTGACATAAAAACTAGAAAAGATGATAGGGACTGGAAAAAGAATTAAAAGAAAAAGAGAGCCAGTGTATTACGGGGACATATGATACAGGGTTTAGTAGGAGGAATTGAGAGGCCAGGTGAAAAAGATTCAAAGGGATGAAAGAGGACATGAGATGTTTGTAACTGGAATAGTAAAAAATATCCTGTGGTGTCCAGACTTTGTGCCTTTGAAAACTTGTCTTTGAAGGAAATTACCTTCAGTTTAACAACTAATTTAAAGCTCTGGACATGCATACATAACATGCATTTTTTAAAAATGTAACAATTAGTTACTCTAGTCCTGTTACTAATGACAGGTATTCGTGTCACAAAAAGAAGTCTTTTACTTAGCTGTTTCATTTGGTGTCTCCAACTTGAAGAATTCAGGGGGTCTCAGTTGCCTTCTCACGTATACTTATGGAACTTACAAATTACTGCTGAGCCATATTGGTAGGGAAGCCAAAGGATGTGCACTTCCTTACTTCCTGTACTACACATATTGGGGTATAGAGCTTTCTCTTTTCTGTTGGATTAGCCTGGAATATTTCTTGAACACAGTTCACGTGACTTAAAATAATAACTAAAAAAATCTACAGTGTCTCTATGTCTTCATAAAATTCCATCATTAAATTCAGTCTAAAGAGATAACTGAGGGAGTACTCTTTTTTGGAGTTCGTTCTTCCATGGATTTCATGCAATTGCATCTTGGGTTTAATTTTGCTTGAGATATGATCAATTGCTTAAAAAAAATTCTATCTTTCTTGATGATTTTCTTTCTGCTTGCCCTTTGCCCAGTGAAACAGATATAATTTAGACAAAAGAAATGTCTTCATTTAGGTGTTGGAAAATCAGATGAAGAAAGATCTTGCAGATAAGGAAGCACTTGAGAATATGCTCAGAAGACATGAAGAAGAAGCACATGAGAAATGTAAAGTCCTGGCTGAACAGAAGGCGGTACGTACAGTTGAATTGAAAATCAAAGCATTTTAAGAGTAGCTTTCTGAGACTCTGATTTCAAGCAAGGTAATCTTGTTTGAGGTTTTGTAGTGCTGCTGAGCTGTTTTGAAGGAAGTGCACTGATTAATACTAATTTTAAAAGACATGGCTGGTTTTTTTTTTTAATTCAAGGTGTTTTCAAGAATATTTCCTTAAAAGTAGCCACGTAGCTTGCTGTGTCCCCATCATTTTGTGCATTGATAATATAATGGTTGCTTTCTCCTAATATTAAAGCAGTAGAAAGCAGTTGTAAATAGCTCCAGTAATTGCATCTGTGATGCTCTTTTGGCCATTTGATCGGTCTTCTTTTACTTCTTTTTGTTTCTGGAAAAAGTTCAGACTTCTTTTTAAACATTGTTTTTATAATCACTTCTATTGTGCAGTCTCAAAGGCACATTGCTCTGTTTCAGATGATCAATGCAATGGATTCGAAGATTAGGTCACTGGAGCAGAGAATAGTGGAATTGTCTGAGGCCAATAAACTGGCAGCAAATAGCAGCCTTTTTACCCAGAGGAACATGTAAGTATAGCAACTGATATCATACTGGTCACTACTGAACAGTTCTCAATAATATCTGTTCTCTTAATGTAAGAGTGGTTCTTTTTTGCAGGCCTGCTGTGCTCCCTGCTTGTTTTTCAGTGATGCAAAAATATGCTTGTTCTTCAAATAGTTGTGGTTCACTGCATATTTTGTATTTCTTCAAACATGACTAGGAAAATTGGTTTGTATTACAATGTTTACTTTGGAGCCTTTCCTAAGGCTGGCGCTTTGTGCAGGTTTACCAAACATCTTAAATGAATATTAATGATTTTAATGTCTAAAATACCTCTGGAGAAGCATATATTCCTTTTTTGAACATATATATTGCTAATAGATTTATATTTTCCTTGGTTCCTGTGACAGTTACATGATGTTGAAATTGAAAACATTAAATACCTTTCTTTCACAAACATTCCATCCTTCCCTGATGAGTGAGAAGACAAGTAAGAAAACTAGATTTTTAAGCCAAGAGTTTTTCCTGCATGTTTTTGAATTGCCGATTGCAAGAGTGAGATATTTTGTTACTGAAATGGGCAGAAGTAATGTGAAGTAGGAGATACCCCAGCTTCAGCTTCAGAATGCTGCTTCAATTTGTTTTTTCTTCCTAACCCAGACAGCACTTGCATATATCTCTATTGCCTTCTCAGCTTCAGCCTCTCTTTTTGTTCTCATCAGTGACTGGTGTAATAGTCAGCTCAGTGTTTTTGGGGTAAACTACTGGTCAAGATCTAATGTCATCTTGAATCACTGTAATCAGCAATTGTTCTTGTGGTGAAGTCTTACTTATTAAACGCAGAGGAAATCTGCATCAGATATTTTTGTCTGCCTGAACTTTGTTTTGCTTTGGATTTTAACTGAGATTCCTTGTCCTTATAATGATTTTTCCTTCATGAATGCCTTAAAGGCATTCTACTTCAAGTATAGGAAAAAGTGTCGGTTGTCCAATATGTCCTGCAAGGTAGGGCTAAAGTAGTATATGCTCCTCCTGAGTTAAGAGATTCATCAACTTTGGCTGTCTTCAGTATCTGTCAACTGCTGCATGCAATGTCAGGTAGTGTATCTGTGGGAAGCACTTGGATAAGTTCACCTATAATATTGAATAGAATCAAGCAAGGATGAATTTTGGCAAAGAGTCGCTTTGGGTTTTTTCCTTTTCAGTGGTGATTATGCATTCAGATATGTAATGGCTCCAATTTTTGTCGTGTTTGAAATGTCTGGCAAGTTATTTTAGCCTAGGCAGCCAAAAATATTCACAGAAATAACTGAGAAATTTGTGTTGCTTTATGCTCCAGGTGACCTCCAGTTAATGACCCAGGAAGTTTGTTGACACAGCAAAAGCCATGACTTACTTGAGTCTGGAATAAAACAGAAGTATTGTCTCAATATGTACCTGGGAAGCATATGCAAGGTCTAGTGTCACAGTCATTGGTGCTGAACTGAGTGTTAGAACTTAGCTGAGCTATATGCATCCTCTGAGCAAAAAATATTTTTTATTTAATATTTATGACCTGTGTTCACTCAGTTATTGCTTCAGTTAATTTGGCAAAAAAAAATATTTTTTAAGCAAAAAATATAATAATGTTTTAACATATGACTTAAAATAGATTATTTACAGACATATTGTCAAGTAACGTAGTTTTGCAGGATTGGCAGAAGGTAGTACAGAATTAACATTTTAAGAGAAAATTGCTTTATTATGCATGCAGATAGCTAATGAATTTGTGCTTATTTTGTGAATTGTGGTGGTGAAAATGTATAAATCTGTTGTTGGACTGTATTTTGAATCCACAAAAGCTACAGCTAATCTGAGCATGTTTGAAGAAGAGAACTAGTGATTAAACTCTTCAGAGGAGAGGGGAACTCTGCTAGCTTTTGTTTCATCAGTATCTGAGGAAACTAGTGATTATCAGGTTCCTGAGAAGATAGCCCAGTAAACAGCAGGAAGTGAAATAACACCATTTGACAGTTCTGGCTGTCAATAATCTGTGGAGGTAAATTAAAAAAAAAGAAAGGGTGAAAAGGTGGTTTTGTGTGCAATGCACAAAAATGTGAGTCAGAAGTTCTATTTTTAGTTTTGTTAAGTCTTCCTATGTGATCTTGGGCAACCCACATAAATCCTCTGGGATAGGATTAATAACAGCTTATTTCCCAGTGAACTTATTAAAATATTAATTCATTAATATATGTAGAGCTTTGTGAGACTTCTAAGTAGAAAGCACACTATGACACAGAGTTTTCCGATGCATGAGAAAATGATTCCTGGAATTGTAAATAATGTAGAAAGAGCTTTTTTTTTTTTTTTTTTTCCTTATGAGCACAAGTAATTATTTTGTTCACTTTGTAGATTAAGACTTTGATCAGAGACAACAAAGTTTTGCTTCAATGTAGGTCAAGTTCTAGGTCCATTACAACTTTAAGAAAAAAAAAAACAACCCAAACAACAAAACATCCCACAACACATTAACCCCCCAAACCCTAAACCAATGGATTTTTCTTATCTCATGGAAATATATTGTGTGAAAGCATTTACTGCCATTTATTTTAGCATTAACATTTATTTTTCCTGTATGGAAAAGCATGTAACAAATAATTGGTGAAATGAGAAGAATGAACTGTAGCTTAAGTATTGTTGTAGATTACTGTGTGCAAGATTAAGTTTTCTGTGCAACTTGCAAACATAGAATTTTAGTGCTCTAGGCATATGTTGATGAATATGCTAGTATATGGATCTCTTGCAGACAGGAATAGAGAGTTGACTTTTTTTTTTAGGTGGGATGTAGAATTTAAGCTATGAACTTAACTATTCTACTTAACAGGAAGCTTGTAGTCTATTATTCCTTACTTCACCCCAGTGAAAAGACATGCGCTAAGGACATTTTGCGTTTGTCACTTGTGCTTTTCTCCTATCAGGAAAGCCCAAGAGGAGATGATTTCAGAGCTCAGGCAACAGAAGTTCTACTTGGAAACACAAGCTGGAAAGTTAGAGGCCCAGAATCGAAAATTAGAAGAACAATTGGAAAAGATGAGTCACCAAGATCACACTGACAAGAACCGCCTGTTGGAGTTAGAGACTAGGCTGCGAGAGGTGAAAACTTGGGTTTAATCCCTCCAAACAAACTTACTTGAATGTACCCCATTTTGAGTATTACAGTGAGAATTAGAATTAGGTTGTTTTAGTTCTGTGTGTCATAAAAAATGGTGGTTTAAGGTGTATTAATTTAGTTTGGTCAAGCAGTACTATTTTTTTCCCCTGGGAGAAAAAAAAAAATTAAAATTGCTCATTAGAAGGAGATAAAAGTAAGTATTAAGGATTTGTCATTCTTAGACCTAACTGAATCTGAGCTTTTAGATCATCTTGCTTTCTCGGAAGCATATTTATGGTGTTTTGTACGATATCCTTATAATGTTGTCTAGCTAGAGTGGTTATGACATAGTGAATAAAAGCTTAGCTATGTACAATGACCAGCTTAACCATAGCCTTAGAGTCTACAGAATAGAAAGCAAAGGACAGAACAGAATTGCTCTAAGAAAACAGGAGACCTGTTGCTTCATGCACATTTTTCAGAAGTTTTCTGGAAAGGAAACGTAACAGTAACATGAAAAATAAGTGTTTTTAAAGATTTGTGAGCTGTGCTTCATTTTTAGTTTTGTATCAACTAGTTTGGATCCACTTCAAGTCTTCTTTTACCTTCTCCAGTCTCACTTCACTAATTCTCAGCTAAGACTGAAATCTTGCCTTTAGCTAAGAGGGTTGGATGACCAACACATGTCCTTGTTTGACCGGAAGTTGGTTGGGACCAGTGTAAGATTTCTGGCAGGCTTGTCGCGCATCTACAGCACAACAGACAGATTCACTTGGGATAGCAGACAGCCTGAAGAAGGTGCTAAGGTTTGGAATTGATTTTGAGCACTGAGATCTGTTCTGCTGCTTGTTCATTTCTTATCCATTTCTGGAAATTACATGTTTATCCCTGAGTATGCCTCAAGAAAACCTTCAACAGAAGCCATTCAGATAAACCCAGAGCCAGATGATCTGGTTGGTTTCTCTAAAAACAATCTGAAGGGAAAATGAAATATCAAAGTCAATTGCAAAATGTATGCAATGTTTACATACACATAAAGATTAGTATTGATGTTTATGCCTAAAGGTTCGCAAATAAAGATTCTTAAAGATTCTCAATTTCAGTGAAGGAAGTTCATCACAAACTACTAAAACTTTTATGGTTTTTGTATCAACGTTTGATATGTGATATTGGAATCACAGCTGGAACTATTCTTGTGCCCTTGTTGTTGTTTCAAATTGCCAGGTTGCTTTTAACCTTTTTCAAAGCAAACCAGTAGTTTTTAGGTAGTAGGCAAAGCTGCGTCCTTGACTTCTCAGTGACTTAAGCAATCTGTCAAGACGTCATTTTTGGGATAGACATGGCAATGGCATCTTAAAGTGAGGTCTGAAATGAGATTACATTACCTGTATTTTCTTTGTTAGTAACTTATATTTGGATGCTACTTTTTCTTTCTTCAGGTTAGTCTAGAGCATGAAGAACAAAAGCTGGAACTCAAAAGGCAGCTGACAGAATTGCAGCTGACACTCCAGGAGCGGGAATCTCAAATTACTGGGCTGCAGGCTGCACGGACAGCCCTGGAGAATCAGCTCCGCGAAGCCAAAACTGAACTAGAGGAGACTACAGCTGAGGCAGAGGAAGAGATTCAAGCTCTCACAGTAAGCCCTAAAATACGTACTATGAGCTAAATATACAGATTAAAATTATGTAGGTGCATGTTTCATAAAGAGGTTAAAATGAATTTATACAATTTAATTTTTAATTTTCAGAACAGGATATGAATTGTGCCTTGTATTGATAGAGGCAGGAATGGCTAAAATGTCAAATTTTGTGTGTCTTATTCTCTTTAACCATATGAATGCTTCCAAGTAGTGGTTCATTGCTGCCAAAACCGATTGATTGTTTGTAAGAGCATGATTACTTCTGTGATGAGGTGAAAGTCGCATATGAAATTGTTATTGCTAGCAATTTTACTCTGTGACTTACTTATTATTTAAATAATATCTCATGAGTTTGAAAGTACTTGATGATCATAAATGTTTTGATGATTTATTTTTTTTTTCAGTTATCCTGCTTTGAGGATACTTATTTGGGGGAAAAAAACCCCAAATTCCTAGGAAAATAGTGTTGTTAGCACATAATTTTATTCCAATGGTTATTTCATTAAAATTTGCCACGTATGTCTTGCAGTCTCTGAGGTGTGTGAATGATATAAAGGGAAAAAGGTTCAATTCCAGCCCCCCTGCCTTCCCCCTCCGTACTCCCCGTAAATGGAATTCTAAATTATATGCTGCTGTTTGCTGTCTCTTGAGTACAAAAAGATGCTTTCAAACTGCTTGATTCTAAGAAATATTTCCTTCATAAAAGATTCCCAGGACTGTGAGGGGAGAGAGTGGAGGAGTGTATGACTTGCTACCAGCTAATCCCCATTGAGCAGCAGTCTTAAATGACCTTCAAATCCAGTTATTTTGAAGTGCTGAAAATGTGCATTCTCTTGCTCCAGTGGCATTTGATCAAAGAACTGTTCCAAATATTTCTGCCATTGCTATTTTTCGGAAGAGATGGGGGGCTCAGCTGAGATAGGTGCTTGTATTATGTTGATGCTTTGGGTAGATGAATGGGAGAACCGTTCACTCAGAGTTGTTCTAAAGCGGGTACACGCTGGGAAAGTACAGCAACAACATCAAGGCTTAAAAATAACTGAATAGAACATGGCATCGGTTTCTTTTTTGCTCAAAACTGCGGTGGTCCCCTCCCAGCTGAAAGCTTTGCATAACAACTAATATTACTGCCAATGGGATGGCAATGTGCTTGATATCTTTACCCTACACCACCAGTGAAACAAATTAATATTTATGACCTGTGTTCACTCAGTTATTGCTTCAGTTAATTTGGCAAAATGATAGTGCTTTTGGACCAGCTGTTGTAAGATAGTCCAGTTTGTTGGGCTTGGGAGTATTTCTGTTATGGATTTTTTTAATATGCTTTTTTATTTTTCACATTGCCTGTTGTGGTAAGATAGCTTTTTAGCTCTCATATTTGACTTCTGCTGAACAGGTTTTTTTTTTCCTGTTTAGTCTCTTGGCTTTAAGGAAAATGTTCTGAATGAAGAAAGGTGGCTGGATGTGCTAGTGCACTAACCTTTCATTTGTTAAGTTTTCAGATAGCATATGACATTAGACACTTGTTAAATCAGTTTGATGAATTTTGAGAGAGGCCAGGAGGCTGAAACAAGAACTTTTGCTTTGTTATGCTTTGCTTGTAAACTAGCAGGTAAAATTGTGCATGCAATACTGCATTCTTTAAAAATACGTGTTTGCACTTTTCCATACTTTGGATGCTGTCTTCCAAAGAATTGATTATTATGTTTCATCACTGCTTTTTAGAGAGGCTCAGGATTAAATGGTACTTTATGGTAGAATTCAGGTAGATTGGCAGAGCTGTTTGGGATAGCTTGCATAATACTTCATTATAATTTTTCTTTGCAAGCGTTAAATTGTATGCAGTATTTCTTTTATATGAAATACCAATCTGGATATGGAAGTAAAACCAACTCAAATTTAAATGTCAAGAATGTACAAACTTAACATGGAATTGACATGTCTTCTGGTGACCATTTCAGATGGAACCTTTTACATAATTCAGTTCCTGAGCTTGTACATTTTTCTGAAGTAGTTCAGAATTGGGACCATAAGTGTACTTTGATTAAGTAGGATGTGACTTTTGCTAATCAGTTCTTTGCCACTACAGAGTGCTTTCACAGCCTGCAGCATCTGCCTTCCAAACTTTGCTTGCTGGTAGATTGTTCTGCAGTTTGTTTAGCAACAGCTGTTGGATTCGAATTCTAATGTATGAAAAATTGATGATTAACTTCTTACCTCCTTTAGGCACATAGAGATGAAATCCAGCGTAAATTTGAAGCCCTTCGTAATAGCTGCACAGTGAGTATTAAATACAGACCATTGAATTATTTTGAAATTAAGGATAAGGAAAGAAACAATTTACTTATTTAATCCTTGATGACACTAGTTCCTAATGTGGACTTCTGGCTTCAAGGTGTTAGTAGGAGCTAGACGGATTGGATTTGATTTCTTTTAGGTTTCAGGTAAACCTCAGTTTTGAGGTTTTAGCTTGATCATGACATTGACACTATTCTTCTTCTTGGAGAAGAAAGTAAATTAAAATATCTCATTGCAGTGCAGCTAGTAAGAATGGTGTAGCAGCTGCAAAAGATGATTGTAGGTGAAGATCTTTTCTGCTCACAAGAAAAGATCTACCTGTCCATATCCTGAGCTGCATTGTAGATCTAGGCCAGAGTGGAAGAGCCTTTGTGCTCAAAGAGCAGAGGGGACTCTAGGATCTTACTTTGCACCTTCTGTTGCCTGACCTGTTTTTAGATTCATTTTGTCAATCCAGGACCGATGTCTGAGGGTTTGTCTATCACGGATTCTTGCAGATTAACACTATCTTCAAACTTGTTTATGATGGTTAATGGAGAGCATCTGTCTTCCAATGACATGAATTACAAAAGTGTTGAATAAGGACCACAGTCCTCTGGATCAGCACTGGTTGCTGATCTTTCTAGGCTTTTTCTCCTTACTCCACCCTGTAAGCAGGGCTTAACTGCTGTTTTTTTAATCTTGATTGTTTCCCTACTTCCAATGATTTCCTCAAACTTAATTTTTCATGCTGTAGGACTAAGTATCTAATGTACAAGTTTTCACCTTTCAAAAACATCTTCAGGATGAGAGTTATTCTGTTTTCCTCAGTTGCTTTTTAGCACTAAGCAAGGGGATTCTTCTATTCTGTTCATAGAATACGCTTATATGAAGAAATGAGGAAGTAGAGCTTACCAAAGCATGTTAACCTCTATCTAAAAGAAATCCTGCACAAGAACCCTTACTTTTTGTTCACTTCTTCATTTACATAGATTGATCTTCTAGCTCCATATGTGCTATCATGTATCTTAAATCCATAGCTGCTATCTTTTGTTCTATCTTGCATACAAAACGACAGCTTTTTTATGAAAATGCTTATGTGATCTCCATGCAGGCAAAAACCAGTTGTGGAAAATCTGTAGCTTGTTTTCACTGCTTGGTAGGCTGCCTTTCAGAGGTTGTAACTCATTATCTAGTAACACTTAGGCTCTGTAAGTGTGGTGAACAATCTCCAGCAGTGAAGAGTGACCCATAACATTTCAAGAATGTTAAGAGCTTCAAAGGTTCTGCATAAAAGGATTTCTAAAAGTGTTGTGTGTTGTAAGGCCCTTCAGTGGGATAAGTGGGGATCAGACATTCTCATCAATAAGAAATTAATTAAATAGTTCCTAAATGAATAATACATGCTCATCATACTTTCTCTTTCCAGCCCAAGAGAATACATGTATAATTTAATTGACCACGGATAGAAACTTTCTTGTTCTGTGTTATGAGTAGTTCTAGCTGTCCATCCTGTCTACTAAGGAGCACTAGGGGAAAATATAGGACAATCTTTTATTGACAGTGAGGGATCAGGCAACGTTTATTATGGTGCCTTTACCAGATGTTTCAACCTCATTTTTATGTGATTGTGACCAGTATGATGCTGGCTTTGCTTTTTGGTGACCATGTGAATCTACTTGAAGGTGATTAGAATTTATACTCCTTTTAAAATAAGATAACACTTCAAGGGAATAATTGTAATATGCTGCTCCTTATGCAGCATCATAATGAGTGGGTTTATTCTTTTAGCAAGTTTTCAAAAGATACCCTTTTCAAGCCGAAACAAACTCCTTGAACTAGTCTGGCAAACTTTGTTATGAATTATTTTTTATTTAATCTTATTGAGAGCCCCAAAACAGCATAAGAATTATGAAAATAAGATTAGACAAGGGAAAAAAATTGAAAAATATTTAGTTACTTCAGTACTAGTATAGTATTCAAAAGATAAATAAAAATACTTAATCTACTTTCTTTGGTATTTCTTCTGTTTCTCTAGCTTCACGAAGGTTACAGCTTCCGACTGTAGAGAAGGCTTACACCTCAAATGTGTGTCTGCTTTCCTTGTACCCTCACTGCACTCTCGTTCTTCCTTTTGCTGAGGTCTCTGACCAACTAGATGTTTTTTAGGTTCTCCTATTTGTTCATTTTAAATTTGCTGTGTTTTGGGGTGCATACATAAAGACCATTGCTATGTTGTTGGTCCTAATTTCTGCCTTGTTTGTGAATTTATATTCAGTTGCTCTGACAGCTCTGCATTGTTTCATCTTGTGACATCTCTCTTTTAGTATTGGGAGTCAAAAAGCAAATGCTAGCATTTGCTTTCTCTGTGTCTCAGTTGTGCAAGAAATAATAGGATACATAATTACAATAAAAACTGTAAATTGTAGTACCTGCTGTATGCACACACAGGTGCATGTGGGCACACACGGAGAGCAATATTTTATCATAGTCTTCTCACAATGATAGCTTATCCAGCAAATCTGTTGTATTTTCCAGGCAATCAGGAAAATATCTAGAAATAAAAGGCATTTTATTAAATAGGAAAATTTACGTATTTGTCAGTTGTTTCCAACCTCCTCTTAATTACGGCTTGTTGTTGGATCATCAACGTGTTTGAAACTAAAAATACAACTAAGTTATCTAAATAATAGTAGAATTGTTTGAAAAGGAAACATTCAGTAAGCGGGCAGTAAAGTCTATAAATATTTAGAAGAAAATAATCCTATAAAGTATTTACATTCAGCTTAGTAAGATACTGTTGCTATTCCAGGCAACCACCATCTGAATCTTCTAGGTTTTTTTCAGGTACAGGCTGTTGCTTTTACTCTAGCAAGGAGTGGCATTTCTTAATACTAATTGCACATTGCATTTCCATTTATTCAAGATTTCGCCAATAAAACAAGGTTTATCTTCCCCTCCTTGAGGTTCTTTTGTCATCGTCTTGTGTTCCTATCTTAAGCATTAACAGGCTTGATTCTGCACTTGTCTATGAGACTGGATATTGAGGCATTAAATCGGCAAGCCCGTTAGGCACATGTATAATTTTAGTCATGCATAAAGTCCTGCTGACTTTGGTCTAAGATCCTGATTCCACATTAGCTCAATGAGTTGGCATACAAGAATAATCTGTGTTCTTGAGAACTTCTGAAACTATGGCTGAAGATGTTATATACTTTGAATCTAAATTATGCTTCAGAGTAAAAGGATCTTGCCCACTGTAACAAGGCTAATACCCAGGCAAAAACTTTTGTATAGTTTTGTTAAATTTGTAAAAAAGGAAAAAAAAAAAAAAAATTGGCTGTTGGGGGGGAGGGGCTATCCCTGATTCTCATTTCACGGAAAATGTGATGGCAGATGCCAGATATAGGCAAAAATAGAGCTTTGAAGTTTTTGTAGCCTGACAAAAAGTCAGGGATTTCTAGGGTGTTGATGAGGGGTTGCTGTGGAAGAGGCTAATGGGACCTTCACCATGGATGATGACATCATCATCATTTGAGGATGAGGCTCATGGTTGGTAGAAGCTGCTTGTCTTCTGGGAACTAGGATAGAGGAGTACAGGAGACTATGTTTTAATAATGGGTTGGTGTGGGAAGGAGATGAATGCAGACTGTGCAAAGTCCTGCTACTCTGCAGCTACTGATGAGAGCAATGTCCCTCAAGCTAAGCCATGATGAGTTTTTGGAGACTGAGATCTCTGTGTAAGGTATGTTTCAAGTCACAGATGTTGTCTGACTATGGAAAGGGGAGGAAAGTGAGGAGTTCATTGATATATATACCAATCAAACAGAGATACAAGACTGATATCTAGCTGCATCTGTGTTCATTAAGAGGCTTGGTATTCTGCTCCATTTTGATGCTTGGTATTTCTCTGCTAGAAAAGTTTTGTCTCTCAGATCCAAATGTGAGTACGTTAAGATGAAGCTGAGAACTACCTGAAACGAGGCTGCAGTGAGGTGGGTGTTGGTCTCTTTTTCCAAGTAGTTAGCGATAGGGTGAGAGGAAGTGGCCTCAAGTTACATCAGGGGAGGTTTAGATTGGATATTTGGAAAAAAAATTCTTCATGGAAAGGGTTGTCAAGCACTGGAACAAGCTGCCCAGGGAAGTGGTTGAGTCCCCATCCGTGGAGGTATTTAAAAGAAGTGTAGATGTGACGCTTAGGGATATGGTTTAGTGGTGGACTTGGTAGTGTTAGGTTAACAGTTGGACTTGATGATCTTAAAGGTCTTTTCCAACCTAAACGATTCTATGATGCCTACTCTTGCTTCTTCCTCACAATGATTTGGGGCTGAGAGATAGCTTTTTCTTTTTTCCTATTTACTTCTGACAGCTAGCTTTCTAGTAAAGATTAGTGGGGGTGGGGAAGAGTGGAAACGGATAGAGTAAAACTATGTATTAGTCTGGAAGTTCTGAATTAAGGTTGTACAACAAATTGCATTAAACTCCGAATAACATGCTGCTGATAGCATCCTGAAACAGTTTACCTTGCTGTGTCCTAGCATTTTCCTGTATGTTTGTTGGTGGCATCTAAGAACTGAGATGCCTTCATGAAGGACTAAGGTTATGAAGAAGTTTGCAAGCTGCAGTTAGTATTCTAAAACTGCTTCCTTTTCTCCTTTCCCTCATTATTTTGCCTGTGGTTTTGATACATGGAACATATGGATTAAATTTTGTACATTGTGTCTGATATGCAAACCTAATCATCATGGCCCTGAACTTCTTGTTGCTATGATGCTATGATGTGATCCGTGCCTGGAGAAGTTTGTAGGGCCAGGTATAATAGCTGTGAATCTGCGCAATCTCACAATAGAGAAACACTTTGCTTTCTGAAACTATGCAATGGGGAGGGAATTGTGCTGAATATGGTCACTTTGCTGAAGAGCTGTTATGCTTGGGTTGTTCTGTAATACTTAAAAATGAGATACAGTCTTCTGTATCAGTATAAAGATAAGTTGTGCACTTGGATGTGGCATGTAGTGAACAATCTGCCAAGATTAACACAGTGCAGTTAGATTATATCTCTATTTTGTGGATTAGTTGTGATGAAGATGGACATAGATGGAAGAGAAAATTTCAGTTGCTGTTTGAGTGATGATATAGTGGCTGCCTAGGTTGTCTTAGAATTGCTTTTCCAAGCTTTCAAGTGTTTGGTTGTTTTATGAACTTTAAATTTTAAGATTTTTGTAATTATATTATGGGTTTCTAAACAATAAAATAGTGTTTCACAGGCTTTCCTTTAATATACTTCAAATTTAGCTCCAGGAAAGCTCAAGGTTGGTTGGTTTATTTGGTTTTTTTTTGTTGTGGTGTTTTTTGGTGTTTGGGGTGTTGGGGGGGGTTTGTGGGGGGGGGGGGGGTGGTTTGTGGTTTTTTGGTTTTTGGGGTTTTTTTTTTTTTTTGCCTGGGGATTTCCTTAACTGAAAAGAAAAATACATAAAGCTATTAAGTCTTTCCAGGTACAGGATTCTGGCATAGGTTGTACGTATCTATGTATGCCCAAGACAACATTTCCTATCAAATGTGGTTTTTTGATCTGTGTTTTCTTTCTTCTTGGTTCCCAGGATAGGCATTTATATCACACCATGTCCCATTTTCCTGTGTCAGTATTGCCCGTTACTATTTAGGCTTTATAGTATTTATGAACTCTGTAACCCTGTTGGGTTATACACAGCTGCAGATTTGTTAACAAATACCCTCTTTCCCCATTAAAAATGGAAAATTCTACTGAGAAGAACGAATTTTCTCTCTCTAAAAAAAGTTAAAATCTATCAATCTATATAGATTACATTAGATAGGTTATAATATATTCGGAATTTAAGCCAAGCCATTTTGGAGTTGTCAATAAATATACTGTTAGGAAAATATTCAAGAAAGGAGATTACGTCACTTCTTCTGGAACCCTTCTTTCATAACTGCTTTGTTATTTGTCTTAAGTTTTCCAGAAACATCCTACTAGATAAAATGTAACAGTGAAATATAAAATGGTCTGGTTTAATTTTAGTTATATTCAGGGAAAGAAGTCAAAATCTCAGAACGTAGAATAAAGGCGAATGGGAGCTTAACTTCCAGCCCTTAAGGGATAAAATCAACTCGAAATACAGCCAGTTTATAAAAATTCAGTAGTTTGACACATTAACTCTGCATGTCACCTTATCCATTTTGTGTTTCCCCCATCCCTGCTTTCTCATATTTCAAAACTAGTTTAGTAATTTTACAGAGAGTACTTGTATTAATATATAAAATATACATGGAAGAAATGATGGATGTATAAAAGATATCTTAAAACTGCCTAGATATGTGGTGTGGTTAAACATAAAAACAAGTAGAGGAAAAAGAGGGATTATCTTATCTGTCAGTTAGTAGCAATCCCAGATGTTACTTGTAAGAATGGCAGGTAAAAACAAATGTTCTTTTGTTCCTTTTTGTTTGTATAAATACATTTCTAAGTTCTTATCCCTACAGCAATATAGACATTAACACATCTTTGTGATACAGTTTGCATTCTTTGAAAACTTGATGCATACAATACAGAATAAAATGTGTATTTTGAATAGGGTGGTAAGAGTGCTCACGAAACAACCAGATGATCAGATTTTCATTAGAAATGTTGTGTTTTAGAGGATGAATGATTTTGATTTGACCCTAAACATATGGATAGCAGGAATTCCCCTTCTCCCAGCAGGGAGTAATGTCAGTTGGAGTTTTTCTGCTGACAGTTTAAAAATCAAATAGGAGAGGCATGGTAAAAGGCTGCCAATATATGCATTACAGATTCTTCAGAAAGAAATGGTTGTCATCTTTCCAGATAGCTGAGAAGAGCTGGATGCTCTATGCTCTACTGCTTTAGATATTTAAGTCCTTGGCTTGTGTAGGAAATTGGAACATCTGAATTTGAATGTGTGGCCAACTATGCTCTGGGATTTTAATTTTTCCCATTTAATGGAGTATCTTATTCACTCTTCTTTGACATCTGGGCAAAAATGCTTCTAGAACATATTTTTAAGAGTTAAATATGAATTGTATAGAGCTTTCCAGTTTCTGAAATTCTTTTTACTAAGCTGATTTCAAGATTATACTTGAAATACATTCCTTTCTCTTCTGTTGTGATGATGTCGTTTTTGAGTTAGGAAGTGGTACAGGTATTCATCCATTCAGTGTTCATGGCCTTTCATTCATAAAAATCAAATGGGACTGTGAAAATGGCCCACTGTTGTTCACATTTTTCTTTAAACTGAAGGGGAATGTGGTTTAAAGCATATAGTATAATGCTATTCTGATTAAACAAACGGACACTTCCACTTCATTAAAGACAAGGCTATTGTCCCTGTTAAATTTTTGCTTTTCACTGATTTTCTGTTAGTCTGTTGTGCTGTCACACTTTTTTCTTTCTTCATATATCCCTTGCTGCCATCTGTAATGCTGTTACTTTGATAGAATATATTTCTTAAATTTTTTCTGCTTTTCCTGGTTGCATACAGTGTTACATATAGTAATATAAAAAATTGCTAGGCAGATCGTCAGATTGTACTGCCTCCATTGCACATCTTGTTCAGTTTTCTTAAATATCATGCTTTGAAAGCTTCTCTGAGAGGTATTAGCCTCATTTCACTTAAGGGGAAATTGAGGCAAAAAAAGGTAAAGTGCTTTGGCAAAGGCATGCTGTAAGTCAGCACCAGATCTGAGAATACAAACAGAACTCCTGACTCCCAATCCAGTGCTTTAGATGTGACAGTTCTTTCTCAAATAATAAATTGCATTGCAGCATATTTATACTCTAAACAACAACAACAAAAAAGCTATTTTCTGTAACTAACAAAACTCTACTCCTAATCGAAGTACACGCCTGTGCATAAAATCTACCATTACAATATTGCTTTTGTTTAAACTTGAAAAAATTTAAAAGCCAGATTGTCTCTTTACTTGTCAATAAATGGTTCTGTGAGAGGAGAACGCTTTTTCAAAAAACTATACTGACTGACATGTAATTTAATTTATTTTTCTTTCCAGGTGATTACAGATTTGGAAGAGCAGCTGAACCAGCTCAGTGAAGACAATGCAGAACTGAACAATCAGAATTTCTTCCTTTCCAAACAACTTGATGAGGCCTCAGGGGCCAATGATGAGGTTGTCCAGTTGCGAAGTGAAGTTGACCATCTCCGTCGGGAGATCACCGAGAGAGAGATGCAGCTTACCAGTCAGAAACAAGTACGGCTTTATAACTCCGGATCACGATCTCTTTATGATAGCTAGCTAATTATCTGAAAAGCAAAAACTTCTTTCAAATCTGGAAACCTATAAGGGATGAATGTGGTTCCAGGGGCAGTGGTTTAAACCATTTATCGTTTTAAGCCTTCCTTTCCAGAGCAGTTGAGTGAATGGAAATTTTTTGTATTTCCCGTTGTATTTTTATGCAATTTTATTTAGAAATTTTGCACGCTGAAGATACTGTAATTTAGAACTATTAATTTTAATTTTGTGACCCTGGAAATTTAAAAATTTTCGTAATGAGATAGAACTGACATTAATGGCAATCACAAGTGAATGTATGGAAGCCTTGAGATAAATGGGTTGTGATTTATCAGCTTATGTTTGCTGCCAATTTGCATGTACTGTAATTTAAATGGTAAGGCTGAAGCTTGAAGTGCACACTTGATGTGGGATGTGAGAATTGATAGGAGGATTTATTTTTAGACTATGGAGGCCTTGAAGACAACATGTACAATGCTGGAAGAGCAAGTAATGGACTTGGAGGCCCTGAATGATGAACTCCTGGAGAAAGAGCGCCAGTGGGAAGCATGGAGAAGTGTTCTAGGGGATGAGAAGTCCCAGTTTGAATGTCGAGTTAGAGAGTTGCAGAGGATGCTGGATACTGAGAAACAGAGCAGGTCTCTTCCCTCTCCTCCCCCTTTTATTAACTTTTATGAAAATACTCTATAGAAGCTAGTACAGAAATTATATTTGGAATAGGATATGGGAGTTGGAACTAAATATAAATTCTTGTGAGGTAGTTCTAAAAATGGTTTATTAGTTAATAGTCATTCACCAGTGATATTGTTCCTTTTGTTTCT